CTTAGCCATACCATTAGAATATACCTTTGTACAATTACATTCCAATGCTTTAATACCTGATAATTGGCTACAATATTACAGCTAAGACTTTGAGGTAGAAAAGTGGTAGTATAGGGAAATTCCAAGCTTATATTTGCAAGGTCTTATGCCTTAGTGGTATAGTGTGCTGTGGTTGCTTTCGGGCTGCGGGTTTGATTCCTGCTTGTGCCAATTTTTGGGCTTTTGGGCTTTTCAGAAATTCTTCAGCATGTCTTAGCCGTATTGTCATGATACAACGACTGCGCTGCGCGAGCGCGAACTGGCGAGTGGCACGCGGGCACGATCTAATACACACGGGGGATTAGTCTGAGTGCGAAGGGAAAGAGCATGCAGAGTGGGGATGCGAGAGGAGTCCTTATATACTAAAAGGAAGCAAAATTGAAAGTCCGCTAGAATGGGGAAGTCTGCCATAAAGAGGTCCGTGCGTGGGAGCACTACATATGATTGTCCAATCACTATCTACGTATTAGCAGCGCCTAATCTAAGATGTCCACCTTAAGTCCATGCCGGGCGGGACGCCGAGCCAGAGCCACTAGGTGCTTCAACAAGCCGCTCTTGGGCGCTTCTGGGTGGCTAGTCCGGTGTAACTTAATAAGTTCCCGTGTCTGGGCCGCTGAACTGAATCAGCTCCACGATCGTGCATGCCGCTGAGCTTTGGTTTTGGTTACACCCTGATTTGAGATTGGCAATGGCGCTAATGTGTGCGCGTTCGTGCACTCAACTTATTATTCAGTTTTGTGTAAGCTGACAATTGGTTTTCATTTTCGTGATTATGCATCTCACTTGAATCTTCGAGTGCACGATGGTGCACGAAGGTGCACGAAAGTGTGCGAAGGTGTGCGAAGGTGCGCGAAAGTAAACGTCTAGCGAAAATGAATTTGTGATAACATGAATATGTAGTTTGTCAAATGCACACTTTCGTGCGCGAAAGTGCACGAAGGTGCACAAACGTGAGCTTTCGTGCATGTTAGCACACGTTAGTGACCAAACGCGCATCATCGTGCACGAATACGCACGAAAGTGCACAAATACGCACGCATAACCTTAGACGCACATCGAAAACAAAAATTTGCGGCCGGTGTGAAAGTGAGAATTTGTTTTTGTCCAATAACACCCTTGATAGGGTCAGAGGGGAACAGCCCACAGACGCCACAAAGCCCGCGCTCGAGCCTGGCTTTCGATGCGTACGTAACCTAGAGGCTTGATTATTACTAACCTCTCCGGCCTGGGTCGGAACCACGCACTCGTAACGTGTTGCATGTGTTAGACTTTCAAGTTTCAGGTGCGCGCATGTTGGTGCCGCACACGTGATCTTTTGCATCCGTTTTCCCATGCTCTCTTGGTATTTGGTCGCTACGCTGCATGTAACTACTCTCCACGCGTTTGGACTGTGACTACGGTCATGTCGCCCCTTGGGGGCGTGCAATATCTTTCACTTACGTTGTTGTACGCTCCCGTGCCCCAGTTCCCCAAGTTATGTCAACAGCATGTCCCTACAAATGGTGAGCAATGCTGAATATAGCAGGCTGGGCAAACACTGGACGGGCCAAGGCCATCGCCGCCAAGCACGACTCGGGCATCTGTCAGGCTTGCTTCGTCATAATAATTACATTAAGTAGATCGAGGACCTCTGTAGGGCGGCTTGTTTGGTGCTTATGCATTCATCATAGAAGTTGTGATGAGGCTGTGTGATGCTAGAATGGTGTGGCGGGCTCCAAGCAGGCGATCTGTCCAGTGGCCTGCTTCTAGCAGAAGTGCAACCTTCAGGCGGTGATACCCCACTCTCGCCACACTTCTTTCTGATTGCAGAGACGCCTACAGGCTATGCTGATCTCGGGAAGCCGACTTATATGGAGCTGATGCTTCAATGAGGCGATTATCACCGCAGTCAGATGATGTCCGTGCGCCGAAACGAGCTGCAATGCCAATGCCCCACAGTGAACCGTCCATCACTGCACCATGATTTCAGCTATGCTACAATATATATGGCCTATATGTGAGCTCGCCTCCTGCACCGACCAACCAATACCTTCTTACACCACAGGATACATGGACCAGTCAGATTTTGACCTGAGCCAGGTGGCACAAGAAAGGTACGGCTTTCCCCTCCGTAACGCATTTATTCTGCCTCTAATGCGGGAGTTATGTATCCAGCCTGATAACAAACTACGTGGCTTATTCGCTACTGTGTCCGTTGCATCATCACATAACTTTCCAGTTGGTAGCACTCTGCTGATTCACCCTCATCTTCAGGCCTTGCAGTGTATGAATATTTCATAACGCTTGACCAAGAGATCGCGGCGGTGTGGAGAAGGAAGCTGACGGTCACTTCGCTACTGCTGCTCACCGTTCGGTGGCTCATGATCCTGAACCCGTTTCTATCGGCTGCACTACCCAGCCAAAAACAATTTTGGTGTAAGCAGTAGGGCAATGTGCCGACGCTGAAGGATAGTAGACTGACCTTATGATGCCACTCTACAGGAGTACTCTGTGTTTTCTGGCGAAATGCTCTCTGATAAATCGCCCCACCTGATGCAAGGTGCGCGCCGTCTTACATAGTGATAACGGCTGTGTACTTAACGGTCACATTCCTCATATCGGGTGAGTTTCGATCACACTCACTGCCTTAAAATGGATTTAATTACCTGCGTAGTATTCTCCGCTTTACGCATTTACGCACTATGGCAAGGTTCGGGGATGAGATATGCCTTCGCCGCAATTATACTGATGCTCGGGGCGACCCCGGTTGGAACGGACATCGTGAGCCATTCCTCGATCAGTCATGCGGCGGCGCACCCAGTGCTTACTGGCCCAAATCCAGTTTCATGCGGTGCGCACCTCATTCATCTTCGTGGACGGCCCGCAGCTCGCCGGATGCGCCTCTTTCACCAACATATCACCGAAGCTGAGCACAGAGTATGCACCAGCCTTCTACTATCCAGACCGCCGCTTGACTGTCCGCTGATTACATTGTCTAGGAGTATGTTTGTCACGCTTCGTTTTATGTTCTTACCTCGTTATGAACATACCCTCAGCTCTCTATCTTACAAGATGCAGTGTAATTGCCTCCGACGCCATCGTTCTCGTGCTGACATGGATCAAGTCGTTTGCACACTGGCGAGAGATGTCCCGACTCAAGCTCACATCGTCAATTTCTGCTGTGCTCCTCAGAGACGGTATGCGCCCCGCCCACTTCCATTCGCTCATATACGACGCGGCTAATGAAATACTGGTTAGGTACCCTTTACTTTCTGTGAGTTATTGGCTTGTACGGTATTCCAACAACCCCATCTGACACATGAACTCTGAGTGCGCTTCTAGGCATGAGCATCCTGCAACTCCTGACCTACTCAACTAGTCTTGTTAACGATGTAATTATCCAGATACTCCTGCCGAAATATTCTGATCCTATAACAACAGGGCACTTATGCGACTGGTTTTGTCCAGTACTTAGTAATAGTTTCATATATCCAGATGACAAGAATATCACTGACTAGGCGTCGCTGTTTACAGCCTCCTTTGTTGGTGCAACGCTTCATTCTCAACCTCCGCCAGCTCGACTACAACGCTCAGGCCGGTGAAAACAGCTCGGACGCGCAGCACGCCTCCCGCGCCACTATGAGCTTTAGAGTGCCCTCCAATCTCCTCGGGAATATTGGGGAGCCTCTGGACCATGGCTGGTCAGAGCAGGTTGAAGATGAAAATGATGACGAAGAGTGAACGTATAGCTGGCAGTGACCACTAATTTTGGTGCTGTCCAGCGTAGGCGTCGAACCGAACAGCCGCCTCTATTGTATTACGCTCCAGCTCTCGTATTTAATACCAGTTCCGGTCTTGGCTGCGTTGTCTGTATTCTTCTTAGCATTTTACTTATTACTTGCTGCTGTAAATGATACGACGCATTCTTAGTGGCGCAACGACAGTGCGGCACAGAACCTCGTACTCGTGTGCCTTACATAGACGTGTCAGACGCACCAGATGTCCGACATCCTTCCGTTAACTCTGATTTTGTCTGTCTTGGCCCTTCAGGTTTATTTCCATCGCGGTGGTACGCATATGGCGCGCACAAGGGGCGCTTCTGAATGACCTTGCTTTGCTCTTTTCAGGTTGTGTTCAAAAGCATTGTCCAAACAGGCCGCGAAGAGCGGGCAAGGTTGTGCCACGAACAGCTTCGAGCGCCCCGGCGCCGATATCATTGGTGTACCTCTACAACCGTGCACACAGGAATCAACGCTCCGCCGGAGCTGCATAACGCGTCCCGTAGAGCCCTTCTTGCTTCGCCTTGATCTCTGCAAGTTCCACATCAATCAGCTACCCCGAAACACGTCGCGAAAGAAAGCGTCGCCACTCACGCAGCGCCAAGATCTTCGAGAAGTATCGGCACCATCCGAAGTTGCCTGCCCGAATCTCGTCAACACCCCACCAAAGTAATCAAGGAAGGACATGGCAGCGGACCCATCATGAGCCACATGTTCGGCAGATTTTGGAGCTCGCGCCAGGGGCCCTTGAGCTCGCCCTCGGCGTTCAGGCCCCACAGGGGCGGAACCGCCGCGCCGGCGGGCTCACCGAGCAGGTTGCGGATTGGCACGCGCACGTCGTCGAAGCTGTGTGTGTAGAGAATACAGCGAGTGTCAGGCCCGCAAATAAAGACTGCAGACGACGCCAGGACGCGCACCCTGTAGCCACGACGATGATATCTGCCGGCAGCTCGGTCCCTTCCGTGAACACAACGCCGCTCGGCGTGATCCTCTCGACTTCGACACCGGACTTGACCTTTATCTTGCCGTCGATTATCTTGCGGCACGCGCCATTATCTGCCATGGTATCAACAGTCGGGGTCATGGAGCGTGGCGCAGGACGGGAGTAGCAGCAGCGCACCGATATAGTACCCCCCGCCGCGCGTGATGAAGAGGTGGTAGACCCCATAATCGTGCTCGCCGCCGTTGCGCAGTGTGTACCCGGCACGCACGAGGCCGTCGAGGATATCCCTGGGCACGGATGTTAGCGACGCGCACACGATTGGCTACTGGTAGCGTGGGCGGGCAATGCACCTGTCGAGGGCGCGGACGTGCGCCGCAGCACGCTCTGCCATCGGCCACTGGAACTTAAAAGGAAGCGAGTGCGAGTTTAAATCAATGTCGTCGTGCGGGTTCTGCTCCCAATCTGACGCTGGTGTATGTGCACGCGCGGAACTGTGTGAGGCGAGGGTGTACGGACTGAGATGCGTGGACGGACTGACCTGGCATGAGGGAGAGGAGTCCGGGGTTGATGGATAAGACATACGTCGAGCTGCGTTGGACCATCGTCACGTCTACGGGGTGGTCAGCCCTGCGTGCAGGGGGCTTAAGCCGATACGATGGGCTCACCGGCGTCATTATCTGCACAGTCCGAGGAGATGTCGTGCGCTGCAGAGAAAAGGTGGACGCTGAGAGCGGAGGTGAAGGGTTTCTAGGATACATAACGCACCTGATGTACAAGCTCCGATGACAACGACTCTCTTACCGCTGAGACCTTGCGCAGACTTGAACTCTGTTGAATGCATGAGCTGTCCCTGGAAGCTCTCCTACCGAAAGCCGCTCCGTTCAGCAGGCAAACACATCACACGCACTCTGAGCACATACCTGCCCGGGGAACACTGTCTTCTTGAACGTGAACCCCTGCCCGAGCACGACGTGGTCGACATGCAGGATTCGCTCTGTGCCGTCCGCGCGTCGAACAACAACGTCCCACTTGTTTGTCTGCGCGTTACGGGCCGCATGGACAGCCTCTGACGAGAGCCAGACGTTTAGTTCGAGCGCCTCAACGTAGAGCTCGAGCCAATTTGCGATCTGTGGGACAGACCGGTGAGACAGACCGCGACCTGCGTGAACCGGAGGCGTACCTGTTTGGAAGAAGGGAAGGTTGGCCAGGATTGAGGGAACCTGCGAGAGCGAGTCAGTGTGCTTTCTACAGCTGCAATGTGACCGTAGCTCACGGGATGTACGGCAGGTTATTGGCCCCTGTATTCAGTGAGCCCAGTGTAATCCGATACTTTCAAACATAAAGACACACATATCGGATCATGGAGCGTTAAGGCATCGTAACGAGTCCTCCAGTTGTCGCCGACACGCGCATGCTTCTCGACGACAAGATGGCTGATGCCAAAGTGCTTCAGGCGCGCCGCAACATCGAGGCCGGCATGGCCAGCGCCGATGACGAGAACCTCCGGGTCGCCGTCGACGAATTCACGCTCACGCTCCCTGCGGACGGTCCAGCTGACCTGGTCCATGCGGAAGTCGCGGTCCGCGTTGGTCAGCCGCTCGGGGTAGCCCTTGAGCCCGTCGAGGTGTGTCGACACGACGAGGGCACGCCAGAGGCCGTCCGCGCAGAACACGAGACGCGCCGTACCCCGGCCGGTCGCGACGCGCGTCGCGAAGGAGAAGTGCACGAGGATCCATGCGACGTCGGGGAAGACGCGCTGGTAGAACGCCTTTGTGTACGCCAAAGCGCCGAAGCCGCTCTCCGTGAGGCGGTCCGTGAGGAAGGTCTGCACTTGCGCGCGGCCGTGGAAGGTGCGGAGGTCCCAAGTGAGGGCGAAGACGTCGCGCCACCAAGGTGTCGGGTGAAGAAAAGACGAGACGAGCTCGGGGATGTCGTTGTGAGCGACGAGCAGCGCGACGGCGCTAACCCACTCGCGTGCGATCGCTTGCGCATTGGGGTTCTCGGGTGGAGTCGCGCCGAGGCTGGCAAAGGTTGGAAGCGATGCTTCAGAGGACGTGTCGTCAGCAGACATGGCTGGGCGTGTCGTGGATAATAGATGTCTTGGCGAGCTTTATACGATCCCAAGGTAGTCGAAGGTGAGCGTGAACTTGGTATGAACTTTATGATGCAAGCATTTCATGTCGTGAGTTCGTGTCCTTGAGCGCAGAACGGAGAGGCAGGGTCGCGAAAAGCATGATAAAGAGCGAGAACCAAGGGATGTAGCTTCTTTGATTCGAAATCGCGTCTCGTGATGGCTCTGCGATCAGCGAAGACAAGGTTCGGTCGCACGGCCCTGAGAGCAGCTGACGCAAGCCCGTTGATAGTGTGCGAACGCGAATGAATATGCGCTTTTGCTGCGCCGTTGTGGCGCCCCAAGGCCTGGTGTGCCGCACGGTCCTCCAGCAAAGACGTCGAAGTTATTTTGCTCTCCGGGTCTCTTCCGTCTTGTCGCTTCGAATCTCGGATCTCAGGGGTCGCGATAGTGTACTGAATACATCGTCTCACTAATGCATCTTGCATTCGTCTCTGTGCTGACGTTTTCGCGCGCCTAGCGATGGGGCGTCTTCTACATGTCTACCAAGGATGCGTTTGCCCATTCACGCTAGAAAAAAGACCAGGCGATTCAGCACTTTCCGTGCATGCCTTCATTCTCGGCGAGCTATAGAAAGCTCAACAAATATCACATGATCCCAATCATGGGCTATCACCTGAAAGTGCACAGGAGCACTGGCAGCTCACAGCTAGACCAGGTTAAATGCATCAGGCGCATGTACACCTCGGTCAAACGTTCCCATAAATCCCTAATTTTGCAACAATATAGATCTGTTCAGCTTTTGAATGCTGCAAAACAGCCAACTTTCGAGACGCAAATATGTGAAGAAATTATGATATATAATACACACACCGGCTTCATCTTATCAATCACCCCTCGTACCTCCCGGTGTACAAGCCAACAAGCTTCGCCTTAATCTCTGAACACCCGGCCATCATCAATAAGCCCCGCCAAAGAAAGCTGTATAGACACTCACGCAACGCCACATGCTTCGAGAACCAGCGCGCCCACACAAGACCCCCTAAGAATGGCCATACGTCTGGCAGTGCCGGTGTAAGATCGCGGAATATACCGTGTACTTCGCCCGTCGCATCGTCGAACCCCCATATCTGCGGGATGTTGTCCAGTGAGACAGCCCCGGAGAAGAGGTCTCGGATAACGAGGCGCGCATCGTCGTACCTGCCGAATACGTTATGAATGCATGAAATTAATGTTCTGAGAGAGAACGCACCCCGTAGCGACAACGATAACGTCGGCTTCCAGCTCTGTTCCGTCGCTGAAGCGCACGCCGGTGGGCGTAAAGCGTTCGACGTCGACGCCGGACTTGATTTTGATCTTTCCATCGATGATCTGCTGGCAGGCACCGCGGTCTGCATGGTATCAAAACGAGAAACGGGAGCTGTGCAAGACTAAAATGCGCACCAAGATAATGGCCTTTTGCGCGCAAGAGATGCCAGAACGCACCCAGGTCTTCCTCACCATTCGAGGTGCGATATCCCGCTTTCTCTAGTCCTTCAAGCATCTCCCTGCGACCCAGCCGTCACATCAGTTCATATGCCCATGACCAAACCAGACGAGGTTCCTCACTGATCGTCGCTGCGAGTAAGCGAGGCTGCGCGCTTCGCGAAGAGCTTTGCAAGAGGGATGGGGAGTGCAAACTTGGAGCGGTCGACGTCTTCAATGGGTGCGGTCTCCCACTCCTCGGAGGGAATGGCACGGAGACAGCTTGGGTTTATAGACATGACGAACGTGCGCGAGCGTTGGTGCATCGTCACGTCTGCAGGGCGCAATCAGAACGGGCGAGTTGGAGAGGGGGGGAGGTGAGGCCAAAGGCGTACCGATTCCGAGGCTCGCGCAGTCGGACGCGGCATCGTGCGCTGCAGCATCCATTAGAACATGCGGACCAGAAGTGAAGGGAAACACACCAGAGGAGCACGCCCCGATGACAACGACCTTCTTGCCGACGTACGGCGCTGCAGAGCGGAAATCTACCGAGTGTACAATCGTGCCGGCGAAGTCATCCTGACCCAGTCGGAGTCAGCGTGGGTATTTGGGAGTTGTCAGGAAAGGGACGAAGACAGACCTGCCCTGCGAACGTCGTGCGTTTGAACGGCCAGCCTACCGCAACAACGACATGCTTCACGGATAAAAGGCGCTGCGAGCCGTCTGACCTCTGGAGAGTGACGTCCCACTTCTGCATATCGTCGCTGCGACGTATAGAAATAGCCGAGGTTGAGGTCTGGACGTTAATTTCGAGCGCATCGGCGTAAAGTTCTAGCCAATTTGCGAACTTTGAAGGGGTTAGTGTGCGCTGTGATGGTTTAGTGGGCTACAGACACACTTTCTTCGCAGGTACAAACACAGGCCAGGTAGCGGGAAAACTAGAGTTACGAGTCAGTCCGCGAAGGATCCGTAAGCGAAGGAATCACTGACGGAAGGTAGGGCAGATGGCTCTGCCCTAACAATGGCCATCAGCGCAACGTCAATGAACGCGGTAGAAAACGTACAAATGGGCCCATGTAAACTGAGCTTCTCGTGCCTCTTCCTCCAGTTATCACCCACTCGTTCGTCCGCCTCGACTACAAGATTCGACACGCCCAGCGCGTTCAGCCGTGCCGCGATAGATAGTCCGCTCAGTCCTGCCCCGATGATGAGCACATCCGGGGCCTCCGTGGAGGACGCGCCCGGCGTCCACCCGCCATTGTCAGGATTGAAATCGCGATGGGGCCCAACACATTCTGGATAGGCTCTGAGACCCTCGAGGTTCGTATACACCGTCACTGCCCGCCACTCCATATCGGCACAGTACACCAGTCGTGCCTCGCCACTTCCAGCTGCCACATCGGTTGTGAACGTGAAGGAAACGACGACCCAGGCGAGGTCCGGATACGGTGTCTGGTACGTCGCCTTCAGGAACTCGATACCGCCGAAGTGCGTCGCGGCCAGCCGGTCTGCAAGGAATCGCGAAATCTCGCGGCGGCCGTGGAAGGTGCGGATGTCCCAGGTGAGGGCGAAGAGGTCTCGCCACCACGGATCGGCGTGGAGCGCGTCGTTGATGAGTGTGTCTACGTCTTGAGACGTGATGCCCGCTGCGAACAGATCGCTCCAGGTGCGGGCGATGGCCACCGCGTCAACGCTCTCGGGAGGCGTCGTTCCAAGCACGTCGAAGGTTGGTAGTGTAGGGGAAGAGGGAGAAGTGGAAGACATGGAAGGCGTCGGGAGTGTTGGAGTGCGAGTGAGTGCTTTACACTTAATATTCACTCAAATGCAACCAAATTCAGGGACATGCATTGCGAGATGTCACACCGCGGGACATGAGGTGCAGGCACGGCAAATACTACCTGTGCATGCGGATGTAGGGGTTAGACTGGAGTTAGCCTTTAAGCATGTATTGCTCAAAATATGCGACGCAAACTTACTTCAAAACGCAGCTCTACAAACCTCATGTAAGAAACGTAATTTGCTCTATAAAAAGATGCTTCATGCGGCGGCCTCTTCGAGCCAGCAGCAGTGAAATTTAGTCATATATATCTTAGGGGCGGCTGGAAGTCCTTGATAACATGTCGCGGACTGCACTAGGCTCCGGCCTTTGTATTAGATTAATAGAGCCGCGTGTAAGCGTATCACAGACTTACGTTACAGACTAGATTGATTATCGCGGGACTTAGCCACACCGGCTGTAGCCGACGGACCGTGGAGCTACGGGGCGTTGGAATGGGTGCTAATGAGCTAGCTAATGCCGAGAGAAGGCCCTAGAAACGAGGCCCAGATGTAAGCTTACGGATGAGAGTAGAACTTCGCGGTTCACCGTCAAGAGGTCGGAGACAAGCAGGGTTGTTACCAGGGATATTCGGAGCCGCAATGTCGGCGAGCTCGGGGGCGCATCAAAGGATAGACGCCCTTCCGACTTCGCGCGTAGAGCCCTTCTGCGTGTTCTAGAGCCGATAAAGGACATAAGTGAACTTGCATTGCCCTAGGGTTGCTCTCGGTGGCGTGTGTGGTTGGAGATGAGGAGACCGGCCGGGCTGCTAGGGATTTTTAGCTGGCGGATACTGTACAACATCCTATGGTCCGAGATTGATGCCACCCTTGTTCACGGCACGGACGATCCTCGTCCTTCTCGTCTATACCATAACGTCCCCCACTTCACTGCACATACGCTCGGCATAAGGCCGTCGCAGCAGCGAGAGCACGGTGACCTCTGCTTGGCAGTATCCAGTATCCGAGGGTTGGCCTGGTTCGGGGGGCCGGGCTACCTCCGAGTCCCGCGCACCGCAGATTCAAACGTGCAGGCATATTCCATCGAGGTACCTGCTGTTTATGTAGTGAATGGTTTTACATGAAAGGTGAAGCAGTAAAGACACCATATGAAAGGGCAAGAGTTTACAAGCCTACATCGAAAGCAAGTCTGCACGAGTCGCCAACAAACGGGGTGGGCGGAGAAGTGGCGAGTCGTGGGAATACCGTGGCGTCGAGCTGAGAGTCGTCAATACCACGCAGATAGTAACGTATACAGTATAATCAGCCAGAATATACTGTAACTGTAGCAAGGTACAAAGCGTGAACAAAAAAAACTCAAAAACCCAAGGACGCACTGTAGGGAAAGTGCCAAAGGGCGGCGCCGTATGCCAATTGGATGGTTGGGTGCGTACTCTTAAGTGGTTATTCTGTGCAGAATCTATGTGCTCGCTGAGACCTGGCAGACTAAAAATGGACGCCACACGGCACAAGCTCCACCGTATCGAAGGCAGCTGCAATAACATTAACCGCGTGCTTATCGTGTCCACATCTGCTCGATAACGACTATCCTCGTTATCATGAAAAACGCAATAAGAAATAACGTCAGTACAATGTGTATATTTCTTCGCCGACACGCACGTTGAATCTCGGTCAGTTTGGCGACTTAACTTTGATCCAGCGGCTTTAAGAAATAACAGAGAACGCTGTGGCGCATGGCGACTTGGAAGTGACTTCCTCAGGTCCCGAGGGGAGAGCGAAGAGATACTCTAGGATTCAGGGGAGGATTGATCTGCCCAACCAAGCCTAGAGCCTCAGACGTTTCGCGCGCGCGCATCATCGGCACTGAGATCACTTTCATTTCATTTCTTCAGTTATTTACGCATCGGGAGGGGAATTCTCTTCGCCAATATCTTCGTTCCACTCCTGCGATACCATAATTTGCTTCACTTCGCTGTCAAGATGCACGATCACCCACCTCAGGCTTCTCGGCAATGAATTTGGTCATGAGTTCCTTGCATACTGCGTTGTTCAGGACCACCACTTCAACGCCGTGTGTACGTAGCAAGTCTTCACCACCCAAAAAATTGGTGTTTTCGCCGATGACCACGCGTGGGATGCGGTATAGGAGTATCGCGCCTGTGCACATCATGCATGGGCTACAGATCAAGTGAGCCATCGAGCACTGGAGAGGACACGTTAGAGGGGTACCTTAGAGTTGTGAACTACGAAGCTTAGGCGTTAGTCGTCACCCTATCCCGCGCACAAATGCGGAACTTGCCATAGTACATTTCATATATACTTCTGCCTTTTGTCTCCCCGCGTTCTCGAGACACGAGATCTCTCCGTGCAGCGTCGCGGACGCCTTCTGGATGCGCTCATTGTGCCCACACGCAATAAGCTTCGGTGCTTCTTTTGAGGTGCCGTGATGCACGAGGGCAGCACCGATGGGTATCCCGCCCTCGGCATAGCTCTGCTGAGCCTCAGCGATTGCGGTGTTGAGGCCGAGGGAGTCGATGGCGTCCATAGAATACTGGAGAGCTAAACTGACAGGTCTCGACTGAAAGGATAGAGATTGCAAATTACATGAGAGCGTGTTGTAGGAGACTGCTCTCTTAAGATAATGACGCAGAGGCGCGATAAGCCGTGAAGACGCGTCGCAGGAACGCGTGTAAGCGCAATACAAAATGAAACTCGAATCGGGTAAGAATAATAATGATCGTGAGAAATAGATATAAGTATCCATTGTTAACGAGTGTTGATGAGTATTGATAACACAGTAAGCCGAGGCGGATAATCTTCGCTGAACAGTTACTATGCGTTCGCGTCAGGACGCCGGGTGCCCGTACACTTTCACGCTTACGCGAACTTCCCCCATCCAATGATACATATATACGCACAAAGTCTTGGAAAATACTCTTCCGAGATGTTTTCCTCTTACTCCTACCATCATTTCGGCGGTCGCTGCAGCATGGTACCCACTACCCTCGTCGCTCGGCTAGAGCTAGCTACTGCACCATTGCAGCAGCTTACTACGACGCACTAAGCTGGCATCTATCAAGAAAGGTCTTGCATTATAATCTCACAAGTGAGCGTTGCAACCTGCGATAGGTCGAGGCACGTCGGGATGGGTCGTAAAGCGTAGAGCTGCGCCGAGACGGGTCTTTGTGTGATGGATTTCTCGTGGTACGTGCTTATCTAGTCTCACCCGTGCGTCAAAACATGTCCGGTATGCATTGCATCCGTTCATGTGCTCACGATCTCAGGTACCTTCCACTTTCTAGCACGCCATCTCGCGATGCACATTCCGGGCGGTTATTTTACCCGGACGGCTTGCTTTGCGTGAAAAAATAACGCCTCGCCTGCAGGCCGACACACGACACCTTCCATGCCTTCCTCCTCTCCATCCACCTCAACACTTCCAACCTCCGATGTCCTGGGCACGACATCGCCAGAGAGCGTCGAAGCAGAAGCCATCGCTCGCGCTTGGATCAACCTGTTTGCAGCACGTGTCGCGTCTCAAGACATAGATGCACTCATCAATGATGCGCTTTATTCCGATCCGTGGTGGCGCGACCTCTTCGCCCTCACATGGGACATCCGCACCTTCCACGGCCGTCGTGACATCTCGCAATTCCTCGCCGACCGGCTCGCCACGACGCGCTTCGGCGATATTGAGCTTCTGAAGGCGACGTACCAGACGCCATACCCAGACCTCGCCTGGATTGCCGTATCGTTCACGTTCGTAACAGATGTTGCTCTCGGGCGCGGCGAGGCGCGGCTGGTGTACTGCTCTGACAAGATCTGGCGGGCGGCGACGGTGTACACGAACCTGGAGGGTCTCAGGAGCTATCCCGAACGCGTCGGACCTCGTCGCGATTTCAATCCTGATCTAGGGAAATGGATCCCGCGCGCATCCTTTACGGAGGACCCGGATGTGCTGATTATCGGTGGAGGACAAACTGGACTGTCGGTTGCAGCGAGGCTGGACGCACTTGGCGTGTCGAATCTGGTTGTGGAAGCGGACGAGCGAGTTGGGGATAGCTGGAGGAAGAGACACGAGAGTCTGAGTCTACATGGGCCTATATGTGCGCTTGTTGTTCTACTTACTATGTCAACTACTGACCACTATTGTTAGGGCAGAACCACATGCCATACTTCTCGTCAGTTCTCACTTGTACCGGTCCTCTCTTCACGCGCTCACCCGAACACCCAGTTTCCCTACTACCTGGCCAGTGTTCATACCCGCGAATAAGGTGCATGTCTCGCTTCCGCGTTCTCGTAGCGTGTATGCTGATCGCTTGGAAGTTCGCCAACTGGCTCGAACTCTACGCCGATGCACTCGAGATCAATGTCCAGACTTCAACATCTGCAACGTCCATGCATCGCAACGCGGAAACGCAGACATGGGACGTCACTATTCGGAAACCCAGTGGCTCACAACGCTTCCTATCCGTGAAGCATGTTGTCGTCGCAGCGGGATGGCCTTTCAAGCGAACGACCTTCGCGGGGCAGGTGCGCTATCGCATCCCTGTCAATACACGACTGTTCACGTACACTGCGGCTGGGCTAGGATGAGTTCTCCGGCACGATTGTGCATTCAGAACATTTCCGCTCTGCAGCGCCATACGTCGGCAAGAAAGTCCTTGTGGTCGGAGCATGCTCTTCTGGTGCGTTATCTCTACCTCGCAGCCTGCATGCTCTCATAGGTATTCCAGCGCACGACGCCGCATCCGACTGCGCAAACCTCGGCATTGGTACGCATCTTTCCTCTCTCGCTCGTGGTCTGCCCGTCTGACCGCGCTCTGCAGACGTAACAATGTACCAGCGCTCACGCCAGTTCGTCATGTCTATTAACCCGGGCATGCTCCGCGCCTCGCCTTCCGCCGAGTGGGAGGCTGTGCCGACGGAAGACGTCGACCGCGCCAAGTTTGCGCTGCCCGTCCACCTTGCGAAACATCTCGCGAAGCGGACGGCCGCGCTAATACGAGATGACGATCGGTGAGTGACCCCCTTCGCTTAACGGCTGCCAACGGGCTAGAAGGTATCTGACCTGCGCGACTAGCGATATGCTCGACGGCCTAGCGAAAGCGGGATATCTCACCTCGAAAGGCGAAGAAGACGCAGGGGCGTTCTTCCCTCTCTTGCGCGGAAGCGGGTACTATCTAGGTACATCACATGACACAACATCTTGTAGTGTGACTTACCGCCCCATAGATCGCGGCGCAAGCCAGCAGATCGTTGACGGGAAGATCAAAATGAAGTCTGGTGTCAACATCGAGCGGTTCACGCGCACAGGCGTGCGCTTCAACGACGGCACCGAGCTCGACGTGGACGTCGTCGTCGTTGCCACCGGGTTTGTTCTTCTCTTTCAAACACCAGTCTCATGCGCTCATTGCTCTCTAAACTTTGGCAGGTTCGACGACGCACGCCTCATCATCCGGGACCTCCTTGCCGGCACCGTCCCGCTGGACACGATTCCGCCGATCTGGGGACTCGACGACGAGACGGGCGAGGTACTCGGCGCGTACCGCGATCTCGCGCCGACGCTGCCGGACGTGTGGCCCGTCCTGGGGAACCTTGCGTGGGTGCGCTGGTTCTCGCGACACGTGGCACTGCGTGAGTCTCTTTTGGCCAGTTGCCGGATTAAGTCGCTGATTAGTGGCGGCGTACAGAGATCAAAGCAAAGCTCATGGGTGTGTATAGTGGGAGATATAAGGCATGAACGAGATGTGGGACGTGGTTGAGGGTGCATTGGAGCCTGATACAGTGCAGTGTTGGGCCTTGCTTCATGTACAGGCCAGGAACTATGTCTTCAGGCCGAGTAGAGTGTCATATGATTAGCTTCTCTGCGCACGAATTGTTGGTCGGAGATCACAGCGTCAAGAAGTACGGAATAAAAAGTAGTGCCGACTACTGTACCTGTACGACCAGTCCGGCGGGGGGTGTGACACGTGACGGCTGACCAGCAGACCGGCGGAGCGGCGAGTTTGGCAGTGACCTGTGACACTGGTCAAGAATCCGGCGGTCAAACGGTGACGGCCCAGGCATGACCCTACAGAGCAGCAACAAAGACAAGAACGACGTTAGCACCACGGAACGCGCGCAGGTTTTTTTCTCATACATCTTGTGCCGCAGGCGCAAAAATCTCAAATATTAATTTTAGCAAAAACAAATGCGAAAACGCCCCCTGTGACGACGTGACCGCCGCTCTCGAGAGCGGCAGCCGGGGGCTATGTGACGCGTGACGCACCGGACTAGTCGTACAGGTACAGTATATTGGGACATAAATGCTTTACTATGCAGCTGTGCCGAGTGTGCAAAGCTACATCTTGCTACAACGTGCGGGTCAAGGCGCACTCAACCCTCAGGCCTGGGGACGCATTGCAAGGGAAGCACGAAAGCGCATTACAACCGGGAACTGACAGAGTTAAGGCGCGCTGTAAGCGTGGGAATGCAGCTGTAACCGCGGTAATTATCGCGTTGGCTTACGCGATCGTGAATGGCTTGGGCAGCGCAGACAGAATTTAAGCTTGAGTGGTGCTCCGATTCACAGTGCCGGCAATATCTTCCTGGGAGAGATCTCGTTTGCAACTTCTGCGCAAGTACTGCTTACATAAGTAGTACACACTACGCCGGAGGCGAGAACCGCGAATGTCGTGCCCGGTCAAACCACATGTACCAAAATCGGAGCTATATCACATGAAAAGAGATGCCAGTGATGTCAGAAATCCGAATGGACGGAAAAATGGTATGTGCGAAAGGCAAAAAGAAGCGTGTCAGCGTGAAGTGGTCGGTTGAGGTGCCGCAGGCTCACTGCTTCGTGAGCACCTACAATATATATTTGAATCCCAACGAGAACCCCGTCTACCTGGCGCGATCTGAACTCATCTGGATCCGTCCATAATTGGCCGGTAGCACGGGAGCGATTCAGATGAAGGACACTGCATACAAGGGCTTATGCTTAAGGTCTACCCTAGGTCTGTCAGAATGTGTCCAGATGTGCGTGAGTTGGTCGGACGACTTTCTGGTCGATCTGGATAGTAGTGGGCAGCCCTGGACAGTTCCATGGGCTGCACTCCCAGTTCTTTGCGCTTAATTCGTAAAAATTTGATATTGTATTCTGCACTATTCGTGTATGTACAAATATGCTCAGTACAATCCAGGTACACCGCACTTGTACTCTACGCTCATTGATCTTCCCGTGTTCTGGGTCCCTCCCCAGCCTACCGTGGATAGTCTTGCCGTCGGTCGAGCATTGCACGTACGGTACCAGGTCTATGTGTGTGCATATATGCGATTGAACGGAAACAGACATATCTGTTGGCTGCTCTCGTGAGCACGACACGACCGTCAAAAGAGCGAATGTAGACGCACCTTGAGCCTACTCCAAACAATTGCAGCAGCGCGTCGAGTCGCCATTGGCTGACTTGACTGCCCCTGAGACTCTCCAAAATAGCGCCACAGGCATGAGTCGATGTCAATAAAGGCTTTTAGTGCTGGTATATGCGCATATACTCGCCTGCTTGCCAGATTAGATAGCGGGACGGGGACCACAGGGACGCGGGGCACGGCGGGTGGCATGGTAGGGGCAGGAAGAGAGCGGCGCGGCGCTATCTTCAGACGTGTGCCCTTATATAAGTCGGATAGGGCACTTCTGCTTCGATTTGGCGGCATCGGTCGGCGGTATCGGGACATTGAAGTCACTAATTCAAGCCCTTACATTCAGACTCGGATTCAGATCCAGAGGAGAGTCGGCCACGCACGCGTCAGAGAGGCATCAATATTGTTGTAAGTGATAGAGAAGACCGTGGTGACTTTGATGCGCCACGGTGCGCCGTCAACTCAATGGGGACGCAACCGATGGGCGCGGACGTCAGGGCTTCCCCGACGCCTGCTGATTACTCTGAGGGTCGCTGGGGGGAGATTAGCAAATTTTCGACAGATTTAGGCAGTCCTAGGTCGTTTCGGGCGGACGGGGTTTTCACTGGGAACGTTAAACACTAATGTTACATCATGGTATATCGAGTTGGAAGGACATTTGTATTGCGTCATTAAGCTGACGACGCTGCATAGCGTGTTCCGTACAGTCCCTCTTTCTTCGCCTTGATCTCTACAGGACCGCGGTCGTAAGCGATACCAAACGACGCTTCGAGAAAAGCGCGACTTACGCATCGCTATCATCTTGGAAAAGTGACGAGACCAAGCAAAGTTACCTAAAGGATGAGTCAGCATTTCGTGCGTGAGACGTAGCCGGGACGCAGCTTACCCATCATGGGCCACAGGCCGGGCAAGTCTTTGGGCTCGCGCCAGGGGCCCCGCAGCTCGCCTTCTTCGTTCGGACCCCAGATAGTCGGGATCCGCGCGCCGACGTCCTCGCCGACGATCTTCCGAATCGGGGCGCGGGCGTCGTCGAAGCTGCAGACAGACATCAGCTACGTCGCAAGATTAGTTAAGCCGCATATGTACCCTGTGGCGATGATGATGATGTCCGCGGGCAGCTTGCTTCCGTCCTTGAAGACGATGCCGGTCTTAGTGATCTTGTCGACCTCGGTACCAGACTTCATCTTGATCTTTCCGTCGATGATCTTCTGGCAGGCACCAGAATCTACAGCCCGCGTACGTCCAGCTCAGATGCAACAACAAACCCAAGAGAGTTGACGAACCAAAGTAGTATCCACCGCCATTCTGGAGGAGTAGATAGAGCACCCCAGTGTTGTCTATGCCGTTGTTGAGCCTGTATCCGACCTTCGTCAGACCTTCGAGTATCTCCCTGTTGTGGGTAACGACAGATCAGAGGCACGGACGTCAGAGAAATTTTTCAGAGGAGCTCATACTTGTCTAGATGCTGAATCATGGCCGCCCCGCGCTGCGCGAGGCCTTTCTGGAAGTGGAGGGGCATCGACATCCTGTTGCTATCAACCTCTTCGGTCGGTGACCCCTCCCACTCCGATGCTGTTAGTCGTATAGGATTAGCTAGCGCGTCGACAAGTACGAGGAAGACTCACCTGGAAGAAAGGCGAGAATGCTCTTCTGAATGGACAGGACGTACGTCGAGCTGCGTTGGTGTATGGTCACATCTACCATTCTGTCAGTTCAAGGATCCGGAGCTGGTCGTTCAATTTTCTCACCAACGCCGTAATCTGCGCAGTCTGAAGCGATGTCGTGCGCTGTGCTAAAAATATCAATATTGAAAACCCAAAGTAACTGCCTTTCGAGTGTGAAGCATACCCGAAGTGCAAGCCCCAATGATCACAACTTTCTTGCCCACAAGGCCTTTCGCTGACTTGAAGTCGTTCGATTGCATGATCTGCCCTTGGAAAGCCTCCTGCACGAAAAAAATGTGGTAGCAAACCACAGCAGCTCATACGTCCACAAGCAATACCCACCTGTCCAGGAAACACCGTCTTCTTGAATGTAAATCCCTGCGCCATCACGACATGGTCCACATGCAGCGTCCGAGTCGACCCATCCCCACGCCGGACCACTACATCCCACTTATTTGTGGCCTTGTTACGGACCGCGCTGACGGCCTCAGACGAGAGCCAGACGTTCAGCTCAAGTGTTTCAGCGTAGAACTCTAGCCAATCTGCGATCTGCGACGAATGAGTTCAGCCCTGAGCTGCAAGGTGATATGCGTACCTTTTTCGCAGAAGGGAAGACTGGCCAACAAGTGGGAAAGCTGAATGTATGGCTCAGCGCACAGACTACGTCATTAATCCTGACAGCTTACGGCAGGTATGGCATATGGTTCACCCCTACTTGCAATCAGTACGGACCAAGAATTATGTGGCAGCACGCACATATGGGGTCATGAAGAGTTAAAAAGTCGTAGCGCATCCTCCAGTTATCTCCAATCCGAGCGTGTTTCTCGATAGCAAGGTAGCTGACTCTCAGATGCTTCAATCGAGCCGCGACCTCCAGTCCGGAATGTCCGCAGCCAATAATCACTACCTCTGGGTCTTTGTCAACGAATTCGACCTCCCTCTTCCTCTCCTCAGCCCAGTTGCCCTGGTTAACCCGGAAGTCGCGGTCCGCGCTCGTCAGCTCGGGATGGCCCTTTAGTCCAACGAGCTCTGTCGACACCGTCACCGCACGCCACACCGAGTCGGCGCAATACACAAGCCGCGCGACACCCACTCCAATGGCGACTGCGGTCTCGAATGAGAAGCGGATAAGGATCCAGGCGACGTCGGGCGCGACTGGTTGGAAGAACGCCTTGATAAACTCGACTTTACCGAAGCCCGTCTCTGCCAAGCGGTCATTGAGGAACGTCTCGATCTTGGCGCGGCCTTGGAAGGTGCGCATGTCCCAGGTCAGCGCGAACTGATCTCGCCACCACGGCTCGTGATGCAGGGATGAGGAGATGAAGTTGTGCACGTCGCGGTTGTCGATAGAACCGGCAAAGGCGCTGATCCAGTCGCGCGCAATGGCTTGGACGTCGAAATCCTTGGGTGGCGAGGCGCCGAGGTTGGCAAAGGATGGGAATGAAGGATCGGTGTCAGGCATGGCGGATGTCGCGGTTGAGTACTGAGCGGTGTCTCCGACATGGCTTTCGCCTTATAAGAGCCTGTGGAAGCCGAGGTCAAATATTAAACACGGGCGCCGGGGATTCGTGTTTTAGACAGTGCTTTGAAACACATGCATGTTGCCGCTATCGTGAGACTCTGCAGACGACGTGCTCAGCAAGTGAAATAATAATAATAGATCTGACATACTCACATCCAGGATCACTTGCTTTCCAAGTCGAAAATTACGTCTCATGATGGCTCTTCGAGTCAGCGAGGACAGGCGGGGACAGTGGGAGGACAAAAAGGCTCGGTCGCAAGGATCGACCACCGAACTCGGCGCCGGCTAAGTCATGCTTCAGGAACAGCGCAGGGACATCGATAGCCATCTCTTATTGAGGACCACGCCGCCTTGCGGCTTGTGTCAAGAGCTTAGAGAAGGAACAAATGAGTCAGAGACCAGGCTCGCCCCGTGCTGTGTTTCTCGCAAGCTCGCGTCGCATCTCTTGCTGAAACAAGATGCACAACGCACGCACATGGACTCACGGAGTGCAGTAAATAAACGAGTCCAGTTGACTTGAATCACAGGCCAGGTTAACACAGGAGAGTCTCGGAGGCGAGTTAGATATTAGGGCGGGGAGCGCATCAGTTGATAGGCGCCCTAGGTGTCCCGCTCATGCGATATCCAAGCGGCTTTTGTCCCACGGTCTCTGGTGCTTAATTATTCTGTACTTCTCGGCAAAATTACTTCTGCGTTAGTTATCTGCAATGTTGCAGTCCGTTATAACCGACATGCGCGTCGCGTACCTTGCCGAAAACGTCCTTGGTTGAATGTTGAACGTTGAGCGACAGCTCGTGGAGCGCACACGTTAAAGACAGCTGGAACGTACCTTGTGGCCTCTGTGTCGGAGCGTCAACTAACATTATTGCACATGTTGTGCGCGAAAGAACAGCTGGTGAAGGAGCACGATGAATGAATGGCGGAAGTGACCTTTAGCGCCTATATCAGTTTAAGAGCCAGTTGCGCGCGCAGCGCCTTATTCTCAATAACGAACACCTACCTTGTACACGACACTTTACGACAGCTTCCTAAACTACCCAATACGACAGAACGCGATTCATACCGCAACTAAGACATCAATCCACGTGCCATACAACAAGGGCCGTGCACGCACAACCATTGTCCGGAAGCCAAGATGACACAACATACCTCGTACAGCCCAACCACCATGTTAAAAGATATAATAAGTAGCTTGCTCATTGCAATGCTCACCCCAAAGCAGCGCAGTGCCTTGCAAGCTCAGTTTAACCAATCCAGCAGCCTGCCACCATGGATCCTCGAATACGAAGACGGTGAAGACCTGGGACCGAGGTTCGTCGAGTGGGCAAAAAAAGTCGAGAAGGCAGAATACGAGGAGTACGGTAACGGCCACGTCGGCGTGGGCGGTGGCGAAGAAGGTGGTGATCAAGATGACGGCCGCCACAGTGGCCACACACTCACCGGCCCCGAAGATGAAGACCAGACGACCCCGAAACCAGGGCCCTTCAAGTGAGCAGCCAGCGTTTGCAGGGTCGTCGCAATGCTGAATGAATTGCAGGAATATGACAGTCGATGTGGACGACGGCCACTGGTCTGCTGGCGAAGCCATCGACGATGACGACGACGCTGACAACTACGACGATGAAGACAAGGACGACGTCTTTGATGAATTAGACAGCGATAACAAGGCGGGTCCTGGAAAACCCACTGCTTCGAACGAGTACGCGACCGTTGCTCATAGCAGCTTCGTGTTGACGAATCGCGCCGTCTTGCATAGCATCGTGGCCAGTGGCGACCCAACTGATGGCGAATTGCCTTGCGACGCGTCAGATAAAGAGAACCAGTCAGTTGTATTGTCGTGAAGGAATCGCGAGACGGTGCACCTGACAAGTTCTTCAGCCGGCCTAATGAGAATGCCAACAGTCCCAATTTCGACGACAACAGCGACGATGGTGGCTATCTGTCTGACGCAGAGAACATGCAAGTGGTCTATTTATCATTGTTGCACTCCCAGCACTGACCTTTCTCTCGACATAGGCCTCCGCCTGCTTGCAGAACTTACATCAACCACGGCATACTCGACAATGGAGCGGCACGTACGTATCTGCCTGCTCTGGCACCTGCAAAACCTTGCTCACCAGATCAGCATGTATAGATATTGGCGGTATCGACTACCAAGCGATGCAGCAGCAGACGACCCGCTCACCGCTATCCGTGCTCGTTGGGCGGGTAAACACAATGAACACAGATAGCACCGAAGAGGCTATCACCTGCGAGGAAGCACACATCCCTACTAATAACCTCGAAACAGACAATGACGCACCTGCAGACGCCGTCTCCGATAGTGGCTATTCCGCCGGGACAGACGACGTCGGGCACACGTCCGACAGTGCCGTCACCGACTCCGAAGATCGTCTTGCGGCCATCGCTTCCTCGATGCATCATTCCTACCGGATTCGTATGAAGATGCTGCAGCTCATGTCGCAGCATTACCTGGGCCGGCCAGGCGCTGACCAGAAGCGCAAGAGAGATGACGATGACGACGACGAAGGTCTCGACCATCCTCCGCTGGGGCAGAAGCAATGTAAGACAGCGAACAGGGAACGTAGAGGGGAGACACACCGAAGCAAGGGGGACTGAAAAGTTCGCGTAGGGATGAAGTAGTGGTGATCTATTAGACTGGTCAAGGTAGTCTCGTATGGTGCAGCGTCGACGGAGTCTGGAATGTAAATCTCGCCTAGTGAAGTTTTGTCTTTGTCATGCAATGTATTTCAGTCTGTCGATTTGTAAACGTCATCTCCAACGGCCTGGAATAGAGCAATGTCGAAAACGCAACAGACGTACCGTTGTCCAAGCATATGACTATCATGTCGCCCTCGTTGAGTCGCCCCGCGTCTCGTCGGTCCATTCACAGGTGGTAGTGACAAAGCAGTAGGCATCCGGAAGGTGCAAGAGAATATTGTGTTTTTTTACGGGAGCTCCGGATGACACATCGGCGTATTTTAAAGGAGAGTTTAAGAACAGCATGTCGATAGAGTCGCACGGGACGCACCGTTGGAACCAGTTTTGTCTCTAACCTTACATCACGACAGCCAGAGATCACTGAGCCTCGACATGACATCTGCATCTCTATAAACGACGTATCTTCACAGGCCGCAGTTGGCGGTTGGTCGAAGACGGAGACAAACGAAAGTCGAGGGCAAAAGTCGTCCAGACAGAAGTCAAACTGCGATGAACGCATTGTACATAGCGTGTATAGTTGCTCCAATAATACCACACGTCGTCGAGCGGAGGCGTGTATGGCGGGCGAAACAAGAGTCACAAGTGAGTGGACGTGGCGAAAGCGCGAGCATAGCAGGCACGTGACGGCGCCATGGCGCCGAACAGGCGCCTTCGCTAAGAAATAGCAACAGTTCTGTCATTAATATAATTCCACACTCGACAAGGTGTAGGTGGCACAGCCTCGGAGTGACGAAAGCGCGAAATATATCAAAAACTACTCGTGTGAGAGAACTTCAAGTTCCTGAAGCCTCGTCCTTGAAGACAGAGAGCTCCTGAAAATCGGGACTTATTAACTAGACACGAGTAAGCAGCAAGATTGAACTGATGTTACAGGGTATATCGAGCCAAAATGACATCCGTACCAGGCCGCTAAGAGTCCGGCGCTGCATAGCGTGTCCCATACAGTCCCTTCTGTTTCGCCTTGATCTCTATGAAATCTAGATTGTGAGCGACACCAAACGACGCTTCGGTCATAGCACAACTCACGCAACGCTATCATCTTAGAAAAGTAGCGAGACCAGGCGAAATTGCCTGCAGGATTAATCAGCATTTCGCATGCGGAGCAAACCCACAGCGAAACCTACCCATTATAGGCCACACGCCGGGCAAGCTTTCGGGCTCGCGCCAGGGGCCCTGCAGTTCGCCTTCCTCATTCAGACCCCACATAGGCGGAATTTGCGCGGCGACGTCCTCGCCGAGCAGTCTGTGAAGCGGCACGCGGAAGTCATCCAGGCTATGGAATGGTACATCAGTTACGTCACAAGATCTAGTAAGCCGCGCGCGCACCCCGTGGCGACAACAATGATGTCCGCAGGCAGCTCGCTTCCATCCTTAAAAGCGACGCCGGTCTTGGTGATCCTGTCGACCTCAGTACCAGACTTCATCTTGATCATTCCGTCGATGATCTTCTGGCAGGCACCAGCATCTACAGGCCATGTCCCTCCAGCTGAGATGCACAAATAAAATCAAGAGAAGCAACGAACCATAGTGGTATCCTCCGCCGCGGTCGAGAACCAGGTAGAGCACACCGGTATTGTCTTTGCCGTTGTTGAGCTTGTATCCGACCTTCTTTAGGCCTTCGAGCATCTCTCTGCCGTGCCACAGCTCAGAGGCCCGGGGGTACCAGAGCAAAATCTCGGAGGGACACATACCTGTCCACATGCTGAACCATTGCCGCCCCGCGCTGGGCGAGGTCTTTCTGGAAGTGGAAGGGCATCGACATCCTGATGCTATCAACCTCCTCGATCGGTGCTCGTTCCCATTCCGATGCTGCCCGTCATCAAGAATCAGCTGCCGCGCCAACAAGCTGGAGGAAGACTTGCCCGAAAGAAAGGCAAGAACACCCTTCTGGACGGACATGACGTACGTCGCGCTGCGTTGGACCATCGTCACATCTGCGGCACTGTCAGCTCTGGGACCTTGAGTCAGCTATTTGGCGGTCTCACCTACACCGTGATCTGCGCAGTCTGAAGCAATATCGTGCGCTGTACCGGGAATAGCGATGGTGAAAAACCAGAACGAATTTCTTTCAAAAATGGGATATACCCGATGTACAAGCCCCAATAATCACAACCTTCTTGCCTACAAAGACTTTGGCTGATTTGAACTCGCTCGAGTGCACGATCTGTCCTCCGAAATCCTCCTGCCTCAAAATCACCTGGTGAGAAAACTACGATATCTTGTACGTCTGCGGGTGATACAAACCTGTCCAGGAAACGCCGTCTTCTTGGATGGAAAGCCCTGTGCCATCACGACGTGGTCTACGTGCAGCGTCCGGAACGACCCATCCCCACGCCGGACTACTACGTCCCACTTGTTTGTGGCCTTGTTACGGACCGCACTAACGGCCTCAGACGAAAGCCAGACGTTCAGCTCGAGTGCTTCGGCGTAAAACTTTAGCCAATTTGCCACCTGTGACGTATAGTAAGTTGAGCCGCGAACTGGAAAGTGATATGCATGCCTGCTTCGCAGAAGGAAAAACTGGCCAAGAGGTAGGAAAGCTAGATGGGACATTCAGCGCAGACCTAGTTATTGATCTTGACAACTCACTGGAGGTACGGCATATGGTTAGACCCTACTTACGATCAGTTCTGGAATAAGAGGTATAAGGATCAACACGCACATAGGGGGTTATGAAGGGTCAAGATATCGTAGTGCGTCCTCCAGTTATCTCCAATCCGAGCGTGTTTCTCGATAGCAAGGTAGCTGACTCTCAGATGCTTCAATCGAGCCGCGACCTCCAGTCCGGAATGTCCGCAGCCAATAATCACTACCTCCGGGTCTTTGTCAACGAATTCGACCTCCCTCTTCCTCTCCTCAGCCCAGTTGCCCTGGTTAACCCGGAAGTCGCGGTCTGCACTCGTTAGCTCCGGATGGCCCTTCAACCCATCAAGCTCCGTCGACACTGTCACCGCCCGCCACACCGAGTCGGCGCAATACACAAGCCGCGCGACACCCACTCCAATGGCGACTGCGGTCTCGAATGAGAAGCGGATAAGGATCCAGGCGACGTCGGGCGCGACTTGCTGGAAGAACGCCTTGATAAACTCGACTTTGCTGAAGCCCGTCTCTGCCAAGCGGTCATTGAGGAACGTCTCGATCTTGGCGCGGCCTTGGAAGGTGCGCATGTCCCAGGTCAGTGCAAACACGTCTCGCCACCACGACTCGACATGCAGGGACGAGGAGACGAGGCTGTGCACGTCACGGTTATCGATAGAACCGGCAAAGGCGCTGATCCAGTCGCGCGCAACAGTTTGGACGTCGAAATCCTTGGGTGGCGAGGCGCCGAGGTTGGCAAAGGATGGGAATGGAGGATCGGTATCAGGCATGGTGGGTGTCGCCGTCGAGCGATGTCTCCGGGAAAGCGCCCGGAAGCACATGCAATCCTGTACAGGCGACGTGCTTCTGTCTTTCAGCAAACAGAATTAAAATAGTGGACCTAACGTACTCGTATCCAGAAACGGTCACTTTCTACGTAGTAATTCGCGCAGGTTTCACAGGAGATACTTCTGCCGAAAGCAGGAATCTCAGTCTACTTGACGGACAGATAAACAAGCTGAACGCCACAAGTGAACTGGTCGTGAATAGGACATCAGAGAGGCCGTGCATGCTGTGGTAAAGCCTTGACAAGGACAGAATGCACATTAACGCATTCAGGGAGATATCACTATGGCCATGAACTAATTTCAGATCACCTGAAATGTCTCGGTCAAGCTATCAGAATGGTTTCCTTTCCGGGGACTTAACAGTAGCGCCCCAGAATGACAAATTTGCTACCATAGCCATTTGTGACGCAGAAAAATGAGGAATTTCGTGTAGCCTGAAAATAACATGAAAAGACTAAGTATGACTGCATTTCACTACGTAGAGAGTTGATGTTTCAGGGCAGGGGACTTTGTGGCGCATCTCAGGACATCTGAAAGAATATTGGAGGAATTATTTGAAATTTCCACCTCATGCTGGTCACATGAAGAGCTATCGTTTCGGCTCTGTGTGAGAATACGTGGGATTAACGCAATGCTCCAGCCCATCAAACCACCTGGCCCACCAAAGACAGACATGACACAGCGGGCAAAACCCGCATCCAGTTCCACGCGAGGTGCGACTGGACATCATCTCCAGTAGCGCATCCAGTACCACATCCAGTACCGCATCCAGTCGCGCAATCAGTCGTGGGAATTACTGTCGTGATTGGCTGAACCCCCCCAGAAAGGCAGTGTCAAGTACTAAAAAAGAAGTGATGCGCCGCCTCAGTGCCTGACGCTGTCCACCCTTGAGGTTGTGTCAGTGTCCAAAGCAATTCTCAGATTATTTCTCAGGTGCCGGCTGAACAGCGGCACAGCGTGATGGCGTGATGGAAGATAAGCAATATTCCGCGCGCATTCTCAAGGCTACCTGCCAGATTGAGAGACTTTCATGCGACTTCGAGTGCGCTGGCTGCTGAATCCGCAGGGGCTAGCACCTCTCCGCCCGTGACTGTGGCCGTTAGTTAAATGAAGGGAACGTCCGACCCTTCCTCGCCATAGCTCTTTGCTCGCCGAGGATGTGGTCCCGGAAATCACCGCGCTGCTCACTGCGTGCTGAGCGCTGGGTGCATGCATCATATGATCCCATGCAAGGGCGACGCAATTAGATTTGTGGCTTGCGACGCTATCAAATCTGTAGCCTTGACACAAGTTTAACAAGGACCGTAAATGTGTTATTTATGAATAAATATCTAGGCACCGCGGCAATTATTTCCACTGACACAAGGGTGGACAGCGTCGGGCACTGAGGTGGCGCATCACTTCTATTTTTAGTACTTGACACTGCCTTTCTAGAGGGGTTCAGCCAATCACGACAGTAATTCCCACGACTGATTGCACGACTGGATGTGGTACTGGATGTGGTACTGGATGCGCTACTGGAGATGATGTCCAGTCGCACCTCGCGCGGAACTGGATGCGGGTTTTGCCCGTTGTGTGAACTGTTGCGGCTCAGCATCAGATGTACCAAGTCTGCGAGTTCAAATTTGCCTTGCCATTCTAACTCTATACGGCTTCACCATCGTGGCTAGAACTGGCTAAGCGCTGGTCCGCTGCACTGTACTACAACACAATGGATCTGTGGTAATTTAACGCAATGTGTTGGTCCTAACTGCACATCGCCGCCGACGGAAGGATGTCCATACTGCACCATCAAGAGGTAGGTGCCGCGTAGCGCGTTCCATAGAGACCCTCCTGCTTTGCTTTGATCTCTACAAAGCCACGACCGTAAGCGGTATTGAACGATACTTCCAGCAACGTACAACTCACGCAACGCTATAATTTTAGAGAAGTAGCGACACCAGAAGAAATTGCCTGCAGGTTGCATCAGTATCTCACTTGCGGGACTCTGAGAGCGCAGCTTACCCATCATGAGCCACATTTTTGGCAAGCCCTCGAGCTCGCGCCAGGGACCCTTGAGTTCGCCTTCCTCGTTCAAGCCCCAAATGGGCGGAATCTTTACACCGACATCCTCACTTACGAGTTTCCGGATCGGCACGCGGGCGTCGTCGAACCTGTGTACGAGCACATCAGCTGAAGTCGCAAGAAGCACCAAGGCGCGCGCATACCCGGTAGCGACAACTACAATGTCTGCAGGTAGTTCGCTCCCGTCCTTGAAAAGGACGCCGGTCTTGGTGATCCTGTCGACCTCGATACCAGATTTGATCTTGATCTTCCCGTCGATGATCTTCTGGCAGGAACCATCATCTGCAGACCATGTCCCTCCAGCTCAGGCGCAGGGGCAGGAGCAAGATAGGAAACGAACCGAAATAGTATCCACCTCCGCGCTCGAGGAGCAAATAGAGCACCCCGGTGTCGTCTGTGCCGCTGTTGGTCCTGTAGCCGGCCTTCTCGAGTCCTTCAAGCATCTCCCTAATGCAGAGCGCGACGACTCAAAAGCTCAGAGGCACTAAAGCGGTGGCGTCAAAGTACGCACCTATCGAGATCCCGGATCTTCGCCGCCCCGCGCTGCGCGAGGCCCTTCTGGAAGCGGAACGGCATCGAAATCCTGCTACTGTCCCCCTTTTCGAGCGATAACCCCTCCCATTCCGCCGCTGGATGCCATCTGGAGTCAGCTGGATCCTAGAGCTACAGGCACAAGAGCTGACCTGGGAGATTCGTGAGGATTCCCTTCTCTATTGACATGACGTACGTCGAGCTGCGCTGGACCATGGTCACATCTATGAGGCTGTCAATTTAGGGACTCTAATTAAGCTGTTTGGCTGGCTTACCGACGCCGTTGTCTGCACAATCTGAAGCGATGTCATGCCCTGTGCCAGGAATGTTGATGATGAGAACCCAGAATAATTGTCTTGCGAAGTGGACCATACCCGAGGTACAGGCCCCAATTATCGCTACCTTCTTGCCTGCAAGGCCTTTAGCCGACTTGAATTCGCTCGAATGCATGATTTGTCCGTGGAAGTCCTCCTACCCCAGAACAGTCTGGTGAGCAAACCACGATATCTCGTATGTCCGTGAACGATACCCACCTGTCCAGGAAACACCGTCTTCTTGAACGTGAACCCCTGCGCTAGCACAATATGGTCCACGTGCATCGTCCGAGATGACCCGTCCCCACGCCGGATTACTACGTCCCACTTGTTTGTGGCCTCGTTGCGGACCGCGCTAACGGCCTCAGACGAAAGCCAGATGTTCAGCTCGAGTGCTTCGGCATAAAACTCCAACCAATTTGCCACCTGTAACGAAAGTCGTTGAGATAGGTAGAGGGCTGCAAAGCGGCTTGCAAACCTGTTTGGAAGAAGGAAAGACTGGCCAAGAGGTGGGAAAGCTGGACGGATGAGTCAGCACATGCACGACGTCATTGGCCTGACAACTCACTGGAGGTACGGCATGTGATTGCACCCTGCTAGCCATGAGTGTTAACTGACAAGTAGAAGTCACAGCACGCACATATGGGATCATGAAGAGTCAGTGAATCGTAGCGCGTTCTCCAGTTGTCTCCAATACGAGCATTCTTCTCAACAATCAGATGACTAACCCTGAGGTGCTTTAATCGAGCCGCGATCTCGAGGCCTGCTTGCCCGCCGCCAATCATCAGCACCTCCGGGTTCGTGTCTGCGAACTCGAGTTCATTCTTCCTCCGCTCAACCCAGTCGCCTTGGATTACTCGAAAGTCGCGGTCCGCGCTCGTCAGCTCTGGATGGGCCTTGAGCCCGTCGAGGTGCGTCGACACCGTGACCGCGCGCCACGACTCGTCGGCGCAGTACACGAGACGCGCGATGCCATTTCCAGCAGCAACTGTCGTCTCGAATGAGAAGTGCACGAGGATCCACGCGAGGTCGGGCGCGACGGGCTGATAGACGGCACTGACGAACGCGACGCTGCCGAAACCCGTCTCGGTAAGGCGGTCGTTCAGAAACGTCTCGATCTTTGCGCGGCCCTGAAAGGTGCGGATGTCCCAGGTCAGCGCGAAAATGTCGCGCCACCACGGCTCGGCGTGCAGGGTCGAGATGAGGCCTTGCACGTCGCGGTTGTCAATGGAACCGGCAAAGCTGCCGACCCAGTCGCGTGCAACAGCTGGAGGATCAAATTTTTCGGGCGGCGAAACTCCGAGGCTGGCGAAGGTTGGTAGCGAGGGTGGGGCAGAAGTCAGGCCGACGTCAGACATGATGGGCAATGCAGCTGAGAACACCCTCGATATCACGTTTGCCTTATAAGAACCTCTAGCAATTGAGCTTAAGTATGGGCCATGCTCCCTTCCGTACCTGAGATACGTGTCTCCGTGGGTACAGTCCTTTAACGCTTGCATGTGACCGTGATAGTGAGAATTTGCAAGCAACGCGCTTTTGTCTTCCCTGCAACGGGAAAATCAAAGGGTAGGAAGATAGTAGATATGACGTACTCATACCTAGAAGTGGCCTCTTCTTCGATCGACGATTAAGTCTCATGATGACTCCTGCGGTAAGCGAGCCTCGGGGACAAGGTCTGTTCACACAGACCTCAGCCCCCGGAGCCGGCTCAGAACTATTGATAACAATCAGTTATCAGGGACTGTGCATTGCGGCGGCCTGTACCGATAGTTCATTATGTAAAGGTAGAAGCAGTCCAGAAACCTGGATCACTTACCAGGTTGGTTATCAGGGAAAGGACTCCGACGCCAGCTGACTCTGCACATTGTTGACAAGAAGGCGCATCAGTTGATTCGGCCCGACGCACTGGTAGCGCCGTAATGGTACAAGCGCCCAAAGCGAGTTTCGGACCTTTCGGCCTAAGTATACGGTTGCGTTTCGAGGGTGAGATGGTAAATCCCCGAGAGACAGACGCTTACGGGAGGGTGGACGCCCTGTATAATGTATGACAGGACAGCTGGTATTGAGCATACGACCTCAGCTGTACCAGTTATGGAAATAGCTGCTTGGAGGCTTGCTCCTAACCTTTACTGGCGACCGAACACTCCATCCAGTCGAAATGTGGTATAAGGCGTGTACGACATATCTTGTCGAGGAGGTCCTTGGTGATATAGCCGGGATGGAAGTGAGTTATGATGGCAATGTCGGCCTGCACAATTACTGCCAGTGATGCTCGTGCATTGCTAGCGGCCGGAAGTACGTACATCGACCAAGCGTTTGCGCAGGAAGCTGTCGGACCACTCCTTGTTGCCAGACACGAGATAATAGTGGTCACGAGACTCGCGCCAGGAGCAGATGCCGAGCTATGAGCGGGCTTCGAATGAGAAGGTGGCGAGACAATTCGTCGTCTGCGAGACATACCTCGTTCTCAACAGTACCGAGAAGGCGAGACTCCTGCCGGACAGCTTCACCGCCCTTGTAGAACCTGGATAGCAACTACCATCATGGTGTGCATACATTAGTTGAGGATAGGGTCTTGAGAACATTGAATTGGTGAGCTAGGGAGCTGATGTGTATGAAATGAAATGAGATGGGCGACGTTGGTTTGAATGGCTCCCAAGGAGGCCATATACACATCGAAATCGTCTGGTGTGTACGGGAAAAGCCGTGTGCAGCACTGTGAGTCAAGCACTAGTTGCTCAGCCATGTAGTGAGGATGGCTGTATATCCACCAATAGGACTGCAGCTATTGCCGGACCTGCACGGGACGCGTAAAAAAAGGATAAAGCCATGGCATGAGCACTAAAAACTAATCGTAGACTCTGTAGCTGCTTTCCAAAGAGACCAAGTCGCAGATAGACGTAACGTAGAGGCTGACAAATTTGAAGGTCGAGCGGCCACTCGATGGCCGTGGTGAACCCGTTGGGAACAGCGGAACAAACGTCATATGCGAAGCCGTAGTAACGATTGTTTTCGATGGGCCCGTTCGGAAGCCAAAGTTGGAACCCGTGTTTCGAATATCCAACTAGTGGCTGCACTGGCTGGAGGAGGTTCACGTCCCAATGAAGCGCCCCGTGACGCCACACGAGCCACGCCCGAGCGCCCGTCCTCGCCGCGTTCCGCTCCGAGACCCAATTGCGACCAGCGGGCTCTGGCGCTACGCATCAGCCCTACCATTGCTGTGATGGCGCACTGGTGGAAAGTGCCAGGTCTCGAGTATGCGCATCAACGCGCGGGCAACTTGCAGCTGCGCGCGACTTGTCCCGTACGTGCATGTCCTGAGATGCCTCCAATGTATAAAAAGCCTATTAGATTACCGTCCAGACCATCATCGCCTTTTCCATTCCATCTCCTACACTCCAGCTCTCCAGCTAGTTAATTCAGCACTTTCAACTCTCTAACTCTTATTCGCGCAACATGAAGGTCATCGCTATCCTCTACAAGGGCGGTAAAGCTGCCAAGCAGGAGCCCCGCCTCCTCGGCACCGTCGGGAATGAGGTATGTCTCCCGAACGACGCGACGCGCCGCTCGCACCTTCTGACGGAGCCCTCTCGCAGCTCGGCATCCGCTCCTGGCTCGAGTCTCGTGGTCACGAGTACCTTGTCTCCGACGACAAGGAGGGCCCGGACAGCTTCCTGCACAAGCACATCATCGACGTATGAGCTTCCGGCTGCTAGTAACGCATGAGCCCTGGTGACCGTACTTGTGCAGGCTGACATCGTTATCACGACTCCCTTCCACCCTGGATACATCACCAAGGACCTACTCGACAAGGTACGTCATACGCTCCCCAAATCGTCTAACGACGAGATTTTTTGACGGGGCGACACACAGGCAAAGAACCTGAAGGCCTGCGCCACCGCTGGCGTCGGATCCGATCACGTCGACCTCAACGCAGCTGCCGCCAAGGGTATCGACGTCTTTGAGGTGACAGGCTCCAATGTCGTCTCCGTCGCCGAGCACGCGGTGATGAGCATCCTGCTGCTCGTCCGCAACTTTGTGCCTGCCCACGAGGTGCGTCTCTGGCTCTCAGCTCTCGGTCTCCTCATCAGACACACGACCTCTGACTCTGCGTGCGTTGCAGATGATCAAGCGCGGCGACTGGATCGTCTCCGACGTCGCCCGCGACGCGTTCGACCTCGAGGGCAAGGTTGTCGGGACCATCGGCGCCGGCCGCATCGGCTACCGGATCCTGCAACGCCTGCAGCCATTCAACTGCAAAGAGTTCTTGTACTATGACTACAATGCGCTGACTCCCGAGGCTGGACAGGCGGTCGGCGCGTGGCGTGTCGAGGACCTAGAGGCGTTTGTAGCACAGTGCGACGTGGTAACGATCAATGCGCCGCTGCACGAGGGCACGCGTGGGATGGTGAACAAGGAGCTGTTGGCGCATTTCAAGGAGGGTGCTTGGCTCGGTATGTGCCCTCTTTCTCTCCCTGTTGTCCTCTGTGTGCTGGCTCGCTGGTTTGAACGCCTGCCTTCCCAGTGAACACGGCACGTGGTGCGATCTGCAACGCCGACGACGTCGCGGCGGCAGTCTAAAGCGGCCGGCTGCGCGGGTACGCCGGCGACGTCTGGAACGTCCAGCCTGCGCCGCGCGACCACCCGTGGCGCACGATGCAGGGTCCGCACGGCGGAGGCAACGGGATGGTGCCGCACTACTCTGGTACGACGTTGGACGCTCAGAGGCGGTATGCCGAGGGCACGCGGGAGATCCTTGAGAATTTCTTCGACGGGAAGCCGCAGATTGCTGCAAATGTGATTATTGGCAGTAGTGAGTATCTGCCCCTGGATTGTGAGGTGGGCAAGAGCTGATTAGGTTTTTCACAGAGGGATACGCTACCAATTCTTACGGCCAGCGCTGAGTGGTCGTTCGACTGCACTTGTGTGCTGCGTACACTAGAATTCCGTTATACAACTAGCGAACTATAATATAGCAATGCTAATGCTTTGGTTACTGTTGTTCCTTACGGCGAAGGACTTGCACTCCTATGGCCGTTGGGAAAGCCGGTCGCTACCAGCAGCTCGGTGATGAGCTTGATTCCGGCGCTCCTACTCCATCGAAGAATGGACATGGAGAGCACATCATCCTTGAATAAGTACGTCGTTTATTCGACGGCGTTAGCTCACTTCCCATGTTTCCAGCGTTGCTTGTTTTATTATGTAATCTTTCTCGTGCTCATATTATTCAAGTTCAGTAGTATTTGACAGCCTCGGCAGGGCTCAATACGTGTTCTACTAAACTCAAATAACCTCAGGCTTGAGGAAATTACCGGCGCCATCGTGGCGCCGTCACGTGCCTGCTGTGAACCAAATTCGCCCGCGCTTTCGCCGCACCTGCTCGCCCACCACTCTTATTTCACCCACCATGCACGCCTGCATTCGACGACGAGCATTTTGTGATTGTTGGGACAACTATACACGACGTGTGCATTACATTTGTCTCAACTTGACCTCTCGGCCGCGCCATGAGCCCTGTTTGAACGGCCCTCTTACCCTCGTCACTCCTTGTCTCCTCCTCCGACCAACCCCTAACCGTCTGCAGAAACGTTGCTCATAGAGATGCGGGTACTATATTGTGGCTCGGGGCTTGTCCAACGTTGGCGCAGTGGCTGTAATGATAATCTCGGTAGAGACGAAAGTGCTTTCGGCGGTACGTCTCGTGCGACTCTATTGGTATGCTGTTCCTAAACTCCCCTTTAAAGTGCCATCTGGTGCTCCTGTAAAGAAAAACTTGTCCTCTTGTAGCTTCCGGAGGTCTGTTGCGTTGTCGCTACCATCTGTGAATAGACCGACGAGAAGCGGGGCGGCCCAACGAAGGTGACACGACGAGAGTCACACGCTTGGACAGAGGTGCGTCTGTTCCGTTTTCGACATTATTCTATCGTAGGCAGTCAGAGCAAACTCTTCTGACTCGATAGGCTGAAATACATTGCATCACAAAGACAAAACTTCGTTGTACGGGATCCACATTCCAGACTCCGTCGACACTCTACTATGCGAGACTACCTTGATCATTCTCCTGGTCCACCATCGCTCCTACCCAACGCAATTTTTTTTGTTTTTCCTTACTCCAATGACTCCTCTCCACACTCCCTCTTGGTTATCTTGCGCTGCCTCGACCCTGGCGGAAGATGGTCGAAACCTTCATCCTCGTCATCCTCGTCTCTCTTACGCTTCTGGTCAGCGCCCGCTCGGCCTAGGCAATGCTGTGACATGAGCTGCAGCATTTTCATACGAGTCTGGAAGGACCGATGCATCGAGGAAGCGATGGCCGCAAGACGATCTTCTGTGTCGGTGCTGGCACTGTCGGACGCATTCCCGACGTCGTCTGTTCCGGCGGAGTAGCCACTGTCGGAGGCCGCGTCTACAGGTGCGTTGTTGTCTGTTTCGAGGTCGTTGGTAGGGATGTGTGCTTCCTCGGAGGTGACGACCTCCTCGGCGTTATCTATGTTTGGTGTGTTGACCTGCCCAACGAGCATGGATAGCGGTGAACGGGTCGTCTGCTTTTGCCGCGCTTGATAGTCGATACCGTCAATATCTATGCATGCTGATCTGGTGAACCAGGCTGTGCAGGTGACCGAGTGAACAGGCACGTACATGCTTCTTCGTTACCGGGTTTGATGTAAGTTCGGCAAGCAGGGGGAGGTCTATGTCGAAATCATCAGTACTGGATATAAAACGATACATGGACACTTGCATATTCTCTGCGTCGGACAGATAGCCACCCACGTCGCTGTCGTCGTTGAAAGCGGAACTGTTGGTATTCTCGTCGGGCCGGCTGAAGAACTTGTCAGATGCACCGTCTCGCGATTCCTTCATGACCATATAACTGACTGGTTCTCTTTATCTGACGCGTCACAGAGCGATTCGCCATCAGTTGGGTCGCCACTGGCCACAATGCTATGCAAGACGGCGCGGTCTGTCAGCACGAAGGTGCTATGGGCAACGGCCACGTACGCGTTCGAAGTGGCGGGTCCGCCAGGACCCGCCTTGTTATCGCCATTCAATTCATCAAAGACATCATCCTCGTCTTCATCGTCGTAACTGTCGGCCTCGTCGTCATCGTCGATGGCTTCGCCGGCAGACCAGTGGCCGTCGTCCACATCGACTGTAATATTCCTGGGGTTCATTCAACATTACGACCACTCTGCAGAAACAGGTTGCTTACGTGAAGGTCCCTGTCTTCGGGGCCGTCTTGCCTTCATCTTCGGGGTTGGTGGACGTGTGGCCACTGTGGCTGTTGTCTTCCTCATCACCACCTTCTTCGTCGCTGCTCACGCCGATGTGGCCGTCAATGTTCTCCTCGTATGTTTCCTCTTTAACTTTCTTTGCCCACTCGACGAACTCCGATCCCAGCTCTTCACCGTCTTCGTATTCGAGTGCCCATGGCGGCAGGTTGCCAGATTTGTTGAACTGAGTTTGTAAGGCACGACGCTGTCTTGAGGTAAGCATTGCAATGAGCAAGCTACTTGTTAAGTTTTTCAGCATGGCGATTGTGTCGTACGAGGCTCGCTGTGTCTTCTCGGCTTTGAGACAATGGTGGTGCGTGCAAGGTCCTTGTCGTGTGGCGCGTAAATTGACGTCTTGTTTGGGGATATAATACGCGTCCTACTGTGTCGTGGTTGTTGAAGGAGATGTCACAAAGTGTTGTGCACAAGATAGATGTTCGTTGTCGGAGAACAAGACGCTGCACGCGCAATTGGCTCTTAAACTGCCTTAGGCGCTCGAGGTCACTTCCGCCACTCGTTCACCGCGCTCCTTCACTAGCCGTTCCTTCGCGTACCATTTGCGGGATAATGTAAGATAACACCTTTGCACAGAGGCTACAAACTGCATTCCGACTGTCCTCGATTACTGCACTCCACTAACGATTGCTCAACCTCCAAACGTTCAGCCTACTCCCAGGATACTGTATATTACCAAGCAGGGCCTTCTCCGTGAGGTTCATGACTCGATCACAAAGAACTGCAACGTCCCAAACAACTAGCATGAGACAATTCTGCCAAGATATATAGAACCGTAATAGTGCGACAAAAACTGTCCCAGTATCGCGGGTGTATGGAGCGCCTATTACAGTGTAGGACCACTCCCTGGGACAGCACCACTCCTTGGGACACTCCACTTTCTGCCTTCGCACAGCCTGTAGGGCCTATCACTACCACTTTACTGTATATAATGCATCTATATCTATATGCCATTAGAAGCTCAGAGCCATCCGGTGATTGTAGCGTAGGTGGGGGAGCAAAAAGCCTCAAAAATTGTCAAGCGCGCCGGCTTCAGTGATGCCGCGACCGTCACCAGAGTCGCATAGTCAGCCTAAAATTCGCAAAAATATTCATTAATACTCGAATTCATGTTTTATTCATGTGAAAAATGCGCTTGATGCTCAGATGCCAAGTTTCGAGCTGGAATACATTAGAGATGATTCTACTGAGCTTAGGCGTGACTGAGGCGTGACAAATTTTACTGCCGCGTGACTGCCGCGTCTACCAAGACTGCTGGTACAGGTCACAAATTATCACTTTTGTCACATCAGTCACCCTGTCCCAAGGAGTGGTAGCCGCTGTCTTGGACCACCTCTGTCTTGTGTCCTTCGCCTTGACTTCAGCTTTTGTCTTTTCACCTTGCAGCTTTGCACTGAGGTATTTCATATGTTGTAGTAATATAATGCGATTTATTTAGTATTTATATGCGAGAGACATACGAAGGGGAAGCAAATATTGATCAGGTGTCCCAAGGAGTGGTCCTATACTGTAGCTGATGCGCCTTCCCGCCAAAATATGTAGTGCTAGTTGGCCCCGAGTCTCCCTACCTGTGATTCAAACCTCCGAATGGACTCATCAGCAAGGTCCAGTCACTGCGTGCAGTGTGGCCATCTGCAGTGTGTATCCAAATGGAGCAAGAGATGCGACACGAGCTTGCAAGATACACAGCATGCGACGAGCCTGGTCTCTGACTTATTTGCTCCTCCTTTAACTTGTTCTTGATACAAGCTGCAGGGCGACGTGGTCCTCGATAAGAGATGGCTATTGGTGACCCTGCGTTGTGTCTGAGGCATGACTTAGCCGAGGTTAGTGTGAACAAACCTTACGACCAAGCCTTTTATTCTTGCACTGTCCTCATCTGCCCTTGCTGACTCGAAGAGCCATCACAAGACGCAGAATTCCACCTGGAAAGGAACTGCTCCTGAGTATGAGTACACCAGGTCAATTATGATCAATATGACTATTCTCCTTGCTGAAAACATCCCTAGCAAAAACTCACAATCGCGACAACATGCACATCATGTGCATGTATTTCAGAGTGCTGCCTGGAGCACAAATCTCAGGCGCCCAGGAGATTGTGCTCATGATTAAATATCAATGGTTTGGCATTTGACTTCAGTTTCAGCAAGCTCTTATAAGACAGACCCCATATTGGAGACATCACTCAGCACTCAGCGTTAACTGCGACATCCACTATGCCTGACACTGAGCCTCTATTTCCATCCTTTGCCGACCTTGGAGCCTCACCACCTGAAGATTTTGATGCCCAAGCTGTTGCGCATAACTGGGTCAGCGCCTTTGCCAGCTATGTCAACAACCGCGACGTGCCAAAGATCATCTCCTTGTCCCTGCATCCCGGGCCATGGTGGTGAGACCTGTTCACACTGACTTGGGACACCCGCACCTTCTAAGGCCGCACTATGATTGAAACATTCCTCAATGACCACTTGGCAGAGACAGGTTTTAGCAAAATCAAGTTTACTAAGGCTGTTTTTCAGCCTGTCGCGTCTGACATTGCCTGAATCCTTATCCGCTTCTCATTCGAGACCACAGTCACCATTGGAGTGGGTGTTGCGCGGCTTGTGTATTGCACCAACTTGGTATGGCAAGCGGTGACAGTGTCAACGGAGCTTGATGGACTAAAGGGCCATTCCAAGCTGACAAGTGCAGACTGCGACTTCCAGGTTGACCATGGCAACTGGGCTAAGGAGAGGAAGATAGAGGTCAAATTCATTGACAAAGATCCAGAGGTAGTGATTATTGGTGGTGGGCATTCCAGACTGGAGGTCGTGGCTCGACTGAAGCATCTGAAAGTCATCCATCTTATCATTGAGAAGCACGCTTGGATTGGAGACAGCTGAAGGGCGCGCTGCGTCTTCTTGGCTTTTCATGATCCCATATGTACGTGCCATCACTTATACTTCCTGGTCCACACTGATTATAAGCAGGAATGGAACATATGCCATACCTGCCGTAAGCTGTCAGAATTAATGACATAGTCTATGAGTTGAGCCATCCATCTAGCTTTCCCACATCCTGGCTGGTCTTTTCTCCTGCTAAAAAGGTACACATATCACTTTGCAACTGAGGGCTGAACTCATTTGTTGCAGATGGCAAATTGGCTAGAGTTCTATGCCGAAGCATTTGAGCTAAATGTCTAGCTCTCATCAGAGGCCGTCAGCACGGTCCGTAACACAACCACAAATAAGTGGGATATAGTGGTCTGGCGTGGAGACAGTGGACGCTGCATGTGGACCACGTTGTGATGGCTCTGGGATTTTTATTCAAGAAGATGGTGTTTACTGGACAGGTGGGCATCGTTCATGGGTATATGAGATATAGCGGTTTGTTCACCAGATTGGTTTGTGCAGGAGGCTTTCCAAGGGCAGATTGTGCAATCAAACGACTTCAAGTCAGCGAAAGGCCTTGCAGGCAAGAAGGTGATGATTATTGGGGCTTGTACTTCTGGTATGTTCCACACTCAGAAGGCAACTATCTTGGGTTTTCAATATTAATATTCGTGGCACAGCACATGATATTGCTTCAGAATGTGCAGATAACAAAATTGGTGAGACAGCCATGGCAAACTTCAGGTTTTTGGACTGATAGACTGGCAGATGTGACCATGAATCAACGCAGCTCGATGTGCATCATATCCATATAGAGGGGCATTATTGCTCTTGTTCCAGGCAAGTCTTCCTCCCACTTGTCAGCGTGCTAACTAATTGCAGATGACGCACAGCTAGCAAATTTGAGGGAGCATCACTTGAGGAGGTCAAAAGCAACAGGACGTCGATGCCCTTCACCTTCCAGATAGGCCTTTGGCAGCACGGGGTAGCAATGGTCCAGCATTTAGACAGGTATTTGTTTCTCCAAGACTTCTTTCTAGTGCCCTTGGACCTCTGATCTGTTGCTACCCACAACAGAGAGATATTCAAAGGCCTGAAAAAGGTAGAATACAGGTTAAACAACGGCAAAGATGATACTGGGCTGCTCTACCCAATTTACAACCATGGCAGAGGATTCTACTTGGGTCTGTTATTTTTCCTCGAGTTTTTTGGCATCTCAGCTGGAAGTACATGGCCTATAGATGCTGGTGCCTGCCAGAAAATCATTGACGGAAAGATCAAGATGAAGTCTGGTACTGCGGTCAACAGGATCATCAAGACCAGCATCATCTTCAAGGATGGTAGTGAGCTACCTGCGGATATTATTATTGTTGCCACAGGGTGCGTGTGCAACTTGATACATTTTTGTGGCGTAGATGATGTGTGGATATGCAGCTTTGATGACATCCATGTTCCAATGCAGAAAATTGTCAGCGAGGATGTCGCCACACTAATTCCGACTATCTTTGGTTTAAATGAAGAAGGTGAACTGCGAGGCCCCTGGCACAAGTCCAAAGACTTGCCTGGCCTGTGGCCCATGATGGGTGAGTTTCACTGTTGCTATGTCTCGCGGCGAGATGCTGACTCATCCTTCAGGTAATTTTGCTTGGGCTTGCTACTTTTTTAAGATGATGGCATTGCGTAAGTCGCGCATTTCCCGAAGTGTTGTTTGGTATCACTTATGACCATGGCCCTGTAGAGATCAAGGCAAAGAAAGAGGGATTGTATGGGACATGCTATGCAGCGCCGTCCTTCTAATGATCTAGCACAAATGTCCTTCCGGCTTGATTGCCATGTAATATTAGCATTTAACCTTGATGCCCACCTGCGTCTGGTTCACAGATTGGGGCTTTAGAAGCTTCATGTTTGAAATGACAGAGAATTAGAACTGTTGAATTGTGTTAGATCATTATAGACAGCTTGTGTTACGCATGAGTACAGCGGCAGCTGAGCACTTGTCAAAACTGTTTTCAACATTGACTCTCCAAGCTTCAAGCTTCAAGACTGTATTGCAATAATTGTCAGGTTCTATGCCAAATTAGGACCTGGTGCTGCCATAGTAATGTTTGATACTACTGCCACAGTGAGTGACTGTATTACAGGCTCTTCATTGCACCCTCATGACATCAAATGCCTTGGAGTCGAGGCAAATATCACTTGCGGAAAACATCCAGCCACGTCTCTAGAAAGACTGTAGAGTAAAAGTCCTAAATGGCATTATTTGGAGCAAACAAGGGTGATGAGGCTGGTGAGGACAGAATGCCATGCAGACATGATCTGCACACTCCTCCCAGATGAAACACTGCATGGGCCTTAGAGACATGAGAGGGAGAAGAGCATGCGAGGTCAGAAGTTGCGGAGAGCATGTTTCTGGAAGACTGAGAGTAGTGTTGCTCGTAGGATGCCTCCACCAGAGCCTGCGAGGTTGGAGATACTTTACTACAGCGCGACTGTATTGATGGCCATTATAAGTTTAGCGCTTGAGCTATCACTGATGGAGGATTTGGACGCAATGCCAAGAAAACTTCCGTTAGTGGTAAAGTGCCATGTTTTCATGAATTAAACATGTGTTCATGGCTACTTAATGCTAGCAACTGACGCGCAGTCCTATAATCACAAATTTTTGCTGCGTTGTGACACTGTGGCTTTGCCCCACTCTCATATCATAATTACTATCTCTTGGTGTCTCCCCTCAATCCCAGAATGCCCTGTGCACCGCTGTCTGGCAGAGCGTCATAGGTTGTGCTCATCTTTACCTTTCTTCACCCTAGTACTCGCGTATTTGGTTCACTTGTCAACATCATTATTAATGATCAGGGCGTTGACCCGATATCAGGAAATGGAATTTTATACATGTCTGGTTGGATAATGGGTGGCAGATGTTTTAATTGTCTACCCATGGCACAGGCCTACAACACCACTACACATCAGGCAGTTTTACTCCACTGGTTGCAAGCCCAGTGTCACAAAACACTTCATTTATCTTCACTGATGTGCATAACTCATGCAATTTTGGGTGCAGACTTCAACTGGTGGCCTTTTGACCAGATCAGCCATGTATGTCTACAGCATTCTCAGGTATTTGATGCCTTCTCCTGTCAGCGGAGCCAACATCACGTTTCTTTTTGATGGCATGACAGTGGGAACCTACAGATTTGTACCGGCTGTTAGTAACTCTCAAGCATATGCATACAATCCATCAGGAAACAGGACTTGGGTCCATAGTGCTCCAAAATGCTCCTGTAGCACTCTGTAGCATTGTGGACCTAAGTCTTTTCCCTGATGTCAGTTGCTTTTCAAGAACAAATTTCTAGAAGAAGCATTTGATATGTTCACGATAATGCAGATCAGGCCTATTGGGATTGCTTCTCCAGTGGTGTTAGATTATTTGATATATTCAAGGTACATAAGCCACACAGTGCCAAAACTTGAGACTCACTTTCATTGATCCAGGGAAGACAGCAGTAACACTACCCAGTCTCCAATAGCACCAGTGTCCACTATTGTCTATCCAGCGGTGTCATCTGTTCCCAGCATACCCACTCCTATGAGCACACATGGTGAAGGCTTTTCAGGCACAATACGCACGGCCATAATTTGCATCACAACTATCATTCCCACCGTCATATTTGCATGCAAGGCTCATTGGCGTACACAGGCTGCAGGCTTTTAGAATGGTCATGTTGCTCTCCCTGGCAATGCAGCCCAATACATAGACAGTGACTCTACGGTTATGGCTGACTTAGCTGGCTCACTCACCTACTGGGATGTGGCACCAACCTATTATTCCAGGTCCCATTGCGTAGAGCTGATTGCACTCCAATGATCAATGCCACACATGTGGGAAAATCATGCTTCAGCACGACAGAATGCAATGCTCTTCAACGAGCAAGAACTCACCTTAGCAAATGGCAACAGAGAGAGAGCTGCTGAGAATGCGAGATTGGAAGGCGGAGACAGTGTGCATCCTGGGAGCAGTCTCGCTCGAAGGACTCCTCCACCAATGTACCAGAGTGAGTTCTACAACACCTCGATATTGCAGCTATAAGGCAGGCTTGCTTTTCAAATAAACAGCTGTCTTGAATACTATGTAAAATGAGCAGCATGCAAGAGCAGCAAGCTTTGGCACTTACTTGTATTACTTTATCCATATGTTTCTGGCCTAAAACAGCAGCTGACCTTGAGATGGCATGTCATCTGAGAAGAAGCGTGATCTGCAACAGTCAGCTGGGCGCCATCACACTCTCACTGGTTAACGTGGTCATGTGCTTATCATGTGACTTGAGTATCTCTGGCACCGAGATCATCTCCTTCATGAGACAGATTAAAATGTCTTTTTAGTTGAAACAGGCGTGAAAAGAGCTTAACAACATTTTCCAAAAATAGCCTTACCTTTTTGGTGGAAAAGATGCAAGAGATCTTCAGCAAAAATAGTACCCATGGGGCTAATTTTATACAATTTTGCGCAGATAGAGGTACAAAAGCACATTCAGTTTGTTTCATAAATACACTCAAGCTATTTTCCCATGGAGATGTTATTGTTTTAGTGGTACAAAAAGATACACTGCTTTTACTCCTTTTGAGGTATCAGGAGTTGAAATATCCTTAGGGTGAAATTATCATCATTTTTTTCTCTATGTGTATTACTCTATATATGGATAGCCCAGTGGTATTTGCACCTCTTTTTGCTGCAAGCAGACCAGCTTTTTACAACAAGATTTACTAAAAAAGGCGACTTTATTTGACTCTTATTTTCAAATTTTACCTATCATATATTTTTGCTGGAAAGTGTTCAGGCTTTTTAGCTTTTTAGCTTCTTTTCTCATGGTCATTTTTGTGCCTCTGTCAGCTAAAAATATTTACTAATTAGCCCCGTGACCAAAAGAAGGAGCACTGTTTTTGGAAATATTCCTTAATGAAAAGGTCATATATTTGTGATGCAAAGAGAAATTTTTGTGCCTACCTTGGTGGAAAATAAATGCACTAGGTTCATCTGTAAGCAGTGTAGATATTTCATTACTCTTTGCATCACAAGTATATGACCTTTTCACTAAGAAATACTTCCAAAAATAATGCTCCTTCTTTTGGTACTATTTACGCTGAAAGTTTTTCACAATTTTTTTCCACCGAAAGGGTCGGGCTATGTTTGGAAAATATTGTTAAGCTCTTTTCGTGCCTCTTTTAGCCGAAAAGACATCTCGATTTGTCTCGTGCTTGCGGTTACTATGGACGGTCGTCCAAAGCCTCATCTACAGTGATCTTCGTGCATCTGCGCCTGACAAAGAGTAGCCTCTGGTATTATGGTGTGGCAAGGATGAAAGAAAATGGAGCAATTACTTGCCCACCCTCGCGGTACACTAGTACTTTGAAACTGCAGAATGGACGGATCAATGGACCAGATAGCCCGGTGCTACTTGATTATCTGGTTTATACAAAGTGTGTATCGCATTTTAGGGCGGGAATCCTACGCTTATTTCAGCGATATAGCGATGGCGACAGTGACTCTGCAAAAATGCTCACGTCAGCTATTACCTCGTCCGTCATTCATTCTGTATCGCCCTCTCCCACTCCTAGCAATCCTCGGGTAGCGGTTAGGGCTTATTGCGCACGGCTGTGATTTACGTCGCGATAATCGTTCCCGTCGCCATACTTGCGTTTATCGTGCTTGCACACAAGTTGCGCCGGTGCAAACAGGTCATGCGCGCCGCTCCCTCTTCCAGCAGTGCTAATGTGCAGCACGTCGAGAACATCTCAACTACAGTCAACTTGTTCGATTCTCCGCTCCGTCAGGACTCAGCTCCAACACATTATTCTGCGTCCCACTGTGCAGAGTCGGACGTATCCCAGTTGGTGCCGCACATGCGAACGAGGAGCATTCCTGTACAGGGAGATGACATCTCCTGCTTGCACGAAAGGTGCTATATGGCCCTCGCCAGTAATAGAAGAGAGGGAGGAAGGGAGTATGGCGAGGTCGGATGTTGCAGAGTGTGCGTGTTGGGATCAGCGTCACGCTAGGGGCCCCTCCGCCAGCGTATCGGAGCGAGGCCAAAGAGTCTCTGTAGCACATTACTGTGGCCGTCATTACAGGTACTGCTGCAAAGATCAAGACGAGCTTGGGCTAGTAGGTCTGAAGCTGTTCGACTACACACACCACATCTCCCATCAAAGACAATTTCATCCATTATTTACAGGCACGTCTTCGCATATTAGATACTGGTTTTCATGATCAGTATAGTCAATATATACTAGCATTGTTCTTGTGAACCCGGTCACAGCGGCTGTAACTGTTGACATTTAAATCAGGATTCTGAAGATATAGAGGAGAGAAAAGCTCATGAGCGCATAGCAGCGAGCAAAACAATAAGATGCTCTGCTGAAATCTATGGTGCACTCAGCCAAGAATGCCCAAGGGAAAAAGCACACAGCCAGGAGGTAGTGCTCACCAAAATTATGATTACATACCATTATGATCTCAGATTAAGCATATCTTAAGATCAATTATGGGGGTTTCCGTGATCATTCTCCTACTCGTACGCACGGCATATCGTAAATTATGCTGCCCGTATGTAATTTGTATGCTACATATGTTGGACCCCAGAAGGGCCGAGATTTCAGATACGGTGCGCACCACCCGCACGCTCAAGAATCGCACACCAACGCGCTCTGCAAGTCCGAGCACAGAAACATTGTCAGCCCTTATGTAATGGGCATCGGAATTCTCCGGATGTCGACATACAGCGGGTCATGTCAGTGCGTCACGAGCGTTCCTCAAGAGGTAGAGGCCGAAGTTTACCTCTGCACTGGCTAGGATTGACCGTGCAAGAGCCAAGCTCATGAAGAAGTCCCTTGCGGGGAAGTATTTGCTGCTAGTCTGTTCACAATATTGACGGCCGGGAACAGCATCGTGCATCCCTCTTCCTCCCTCTCCCCACTGACTGCGCCTTGACCCGCCCCCTTTGACATAGCCGCGGGACATCGTCCGGAAGCTGCAGCACCGGGCGCACGGACCCCGCCGCGTGCGAGCTCGATCGGCTCTGCGGCAGGACACATCTCATCGCACCCAACAACGCCGGCGTCGTGCACAGCATGCCGTCGTCCACGAAGAGCTCCGGCAGCGGCAGCACGGCGTCCGCGCTCTCTATAAACCCCCGCTCGCGTCTGTGCATCTGCCGCCACTCTTTGACGCGCCCGCGAGGCGGTCACACCAACTCACACGCAAGCGTCGGCGCCGTGTACGAGCATCAGGACGTGCATCCGATCCACGTCTCGAACATGCACATCCTCGGCGGGGCACGTTCTTGTTCGACCTGTCCGGGCCGTGGCCGCTCCCGCTGCGCACCGATAGCAAGCCCAACTTCCGGATGCTACACGAAATTTCGGGGTACTTTGAGCCCGACCACTTCGGCAGTGAGGTGAGCGTGCAGATGTAATGTGTCATCTTGAGAATGTGTTCAGTAATGTACAGCTGTGTCGGTGATTCGATGCTTAGCTACCGTGACCTTAGTATTCTACCTTCGCCTCGGAGGCCGACACCGCCTGAATCCCATTACATATGATTAAATATGATTGCTTGAAATTAAATACGCGTAAGATTATGCATATCATAACTTACGGCGTCCATATACGCTGTACGCAATTCTAATGCATACATATCCTCAAATTTCGTATGTAATCTTAATTGGTGAGCACTACCAGGAGGAATCCGCTTCGCGTTTACGAATGGTCACGTGCCAATCATGTGACTGGAGTGCCTCTGACGCTCTAAGTTTCCTTTGCGCTCTGCCAAGTCCAAAGCCTGCAATCCCCGGCCACCATGCATCTGCGCCTGCTGAGGAGCATCCCCCGGTTTCAGAAAGCAGAAGACGGAAAAGAAAGTGCGGTGACTACACGTTCGCCCCCGTGGTGGGCTTCCCACGGTCTCCACATGCCTCAACCGTATGCCCTTGCCTGCCCTCGCCTCATCCACCTGCCGGCTACTAGCCAGCATCCACAAGAGTCTAGATGAAGGCGCGTGTCATGGTCTCGCTCGAAGTTTGCGCGCCTATCTAACCCCCCGAACGTTGCAGCAATCTTGCAACTCTTCAGCTGCGGCAGGATAGTGGGTGGCGGCGCTATGGTGAGTGCAAGCGGAGACTATCAGCTCTCAGGATGTTGGTACGTCCTCTGCCCCCGTGTGTGGTGTCTATTAAATAGCGCTGACTTTTTTGATACAGCGGCGGCGTCGCCGATGCCCTTCTTGAACAGTAGTGGAAGCTCTTCGTGGTCGCCACCCTCTCGCAAATCACCTGCGACCGACCGAGCTGCTTTTGGCAAGCACGGACACCAGTATGTCACTAGGTCTCGCAGATGTTCCCCGTATCTAGGCTCACAGTTTTGTTTATTACAGGGCCCGACCTGTTCCTTTCATTAAGGCGAGATCTGATACCAGCTGCCTGACTATCTACCGGAAACCGGCCCTCCGATGTGTTCCAGCCTCCCAAAGCTATTTGGGCTCATAGTGAAACGGTCAGAGCTCCAGATATGTTCGACACAACGTCGTTTACGCGGAGAAGATTCCCGAGCGGCCAGCGCTGGATGTTATCCCTGCATCTAACGTTCGTACTACGTCTTCTCTATTGCTATTGATCTCCAATGTTGTCAATCTACACACAGTACGGTGTTCAGCCTACTATGACCTCGCTTGTCGATCTCCGTCATTCGCATCCAGCAATCTAGCGATCCTTGGACATCGTCAGATGCATGGATAGGTGGCTCATCTAGAGCGAGGGTGCGCCGTCCCGTCATTGACATAGCTCTTCTGGAGATTCGTGAGACTAATCTGTGTTGGAAATCTAGAGCGTACGACACTGCAAAGCTAAGCATTTGTGCAGGAAGCTCGCAATGGTCCGCGACTTTGCCATGGTTTCATCAACGTTCGATCATTCCAGGAAGCCACATCGCCATCGTTAGTTTCGAGTACTGATTCATTGGACTCCTGAATCTCCCCTGTCCTCTGCTTCTGCGTGGCTCCCTACCACGCGCCTTCTTGCCCTCCTTGTGTAGCCTCCGGGAGCTCGAAAGTTCGTCGTATCCCTTGCCATTATCCCCCTCGGCCCTCCTGCGCTCATGGCCACCCTTCAGCGCCTTTCAATATCACTACCAAAGCTGGGTGATCATCATACGGATTTGTGGAGCCCAGAAGTTCCAGAGTAGAACGCCTGCAAGAGAGGAACTCCGGTATCGTCGTCCTTGTGCTGGACATGTTTCTGATGTCGTCTATGTGCCAAAATTCCTGCCATCAAAGTCGATGCCATCGGAAACATCTTCATCTACATTGATGTGAGAAATGCCGACAGGAAATGCTGGTGGGATGTGCTTCCCCAGAGGCGACAGGCAGGTTGGCTATTTGTGTACCAGAGCAACCTACAGTAAAATTGTCTTACGGTCAGTGCAGGGGATTTTGCCGGCTACCAAATCAGCGAAATTCACACCTAACTTGGATAGTAGAATTTCAATCACGATGATATCTATCAGACTATGATACCGCCGAGGCCTAGAACTCTGCTTCCCAAGGACTTGAAGCGTCTTTAATGAAAGGTACGAGGTTAGGGAAGTGATCATCGCTAGTAAGATGCTTTCTTCTCGCAGAATTGGAGCGTGCGCTCAAATGTGCTGTGCTGTTTGCTTGATAGGACCGTACAGCCTTCCATCGTCGCGGATACAAGCTGCGTCGTTAGGTAGTTGTCTGTATCTTGTTCTCGTCCTCCACTGTCTCTTTGTGGCCCTAGACATGCTCTTTACACCTTTTCCTCGAGGCTACTCAGTGGTAGTCTTCATTTACGCCTTCATTTTCTTCATCTCCGCCTCCAGTGCACTCACCAACGTCACTGTCGATGATCAGGGCGCAGACCCCACGACGACGTATGGCATATCATACACATCCGGTTGGAGCATTGGGCAGACGTGCACTGGCTGTTCAGCTCAGCCAGATCCCGCACAGGCTCATGGTGGTACTTGGCACGATACGACGTATGATCCATCAATAGAGGGTCGGAACACGCCGCAAAACGCGACGTTCGACTTCACCGGTGCGTATCTTGCGTAGCTCGATGTGCCTACCGTTGACGTCTCCGGCAGGATCGGCCGTATATGTTTACGGTATTCTCTCGCACTCGACAACAGCGCCTGTTAGTGGCGCGGACATTACGTTCTTCATTGACGGAGTCAAAAGGGGGAGCTTCAGTTTTACACCGAACGGCCCTCAGAATACGTATACGTATAATCAGCTACTCTTCACGATTGACGGTCTCGAAGAAGCGTCGCATGCGTTTGTGCTGCAAAACGGACAAATTGACGGGCCGATCAGTCTGGTATTGTTGGATTACCTGATATACACAAAGTGAGCACGCTGCTTGAAGACTCCGAGTGCTCTGACTTATTCTATTGGTTTTAGAGACGATGGCGGAAATTCCACACCTGAACTGTCCGAAGTCAGCCCTCCGCCAACTTCCGCGACGCAACCAGCTCTTTCAGCGCCGCCAACGACCTCTTCTGCACCAGCAGCTACTACATCTTCTTCCAGTACATCTATTACATCTTCTCCCAGTACATTCATTACGTCCGAGCAATCTGGCGTCTCCAGTATCATCCCGCCGACCAGTGGCTCTTCCGGCACAGACGTAGAAACCAGCAATATGCATATGCCCAGCGCCCCGATCTCTCCCAGTTCGTCCATTTCCGTAGGAACCTCCGGCCCGAGTCCTTCTCCCGGAGGCACCAAGTCTGCGTCAATGCTAGTGTCGACCGTCATCGATACCGCAACGCCTTCCCCCACGTCTAACAGCCTGATCGCGCCGAACCATGCTCATGGCCTTTCGGGCACAGTGCGCAACGTTGTGATCTGCGTCGCGACCGCTATACCTCTCACCATTCTTGCTCTCATCGTGCTTGCATGCAGGGCTCGTCGGCGTCAACACGCCCTTGGCAGCTTTCCTCACCATTCTGCTCTTCCAAACGACACCTCCGAATATCTCGAGCGTCTCGCAACGGTGAGCCAAGCAGAGTCGCCGCCCTACTGGGAACCCGCGCCAAGCTACTTCTCCACGTCCCACCGCGAGGAGCCGGCAGGTGCCTTCCAGCAGATGCTGCGCGCACCAGAAAAGGCGGCATACGTCCCGGCTGAAGGGACCTCCGGATCATCCTCGTGGAGGGGACACGTCACGGCCGGTGACGACAGAGGTGAAGGAGAGCGATATGCGAGATCGGAAATAGCAGAGAGCGCGCGCCCTGGGAGTAGTCTTGCGGCGGCGACTTCTCCACCAGTGTACGAAAGTGAGGCTGGGGGCACTCCGATGCACGAGAGCGCGGTTGGAGCTGCTCTGTAGCGGCCTATTCGGCAGGAGAACCCTGGTTCTGGGAGATGTATGAAGCCCTGTGGGACGATGAAGGTTGGGAGGGCTCAAGGGCGTTCCATAGAAGGACATCATGGTCGTGGCCTTACGCGCACAGCTGTGATCTGCGTCGCAACTGCTGTCCCTATCATAGTACCCATCCTCATTGTGCTCACATGCAAGACTCTTAGTCGTCGACGCTCTGCCAACAACTTTCTTGGTCACGTTGCACGGCTGACCAGATTGAGTGATCTGCGCGCCCGGCCATCGTGCAGCGTCTGTTGCTTCCCAGCCGGCATAGCCTGTAACAGATATGTCCCAGTGCAGGAGAATTCTGAGCTGTCGTCGTGACGAGGGTGCCGGTAACGGAACGGGAGTTGGGTACATTAGATCGAGAGCCGCGGGGAGCGCGTCCCGGAGCGGCTTTGCTCCAGAGATTCCTCTGCCGACGTATGAGAGCGAGGGCGGGAGTGCTCTGCAGCACGTTGCCCAGCAGAGGAGTCTGACGTGACGCGGGGTCTCGTAGCTAGGAAGGGCCCGGCCGCCAAGGTGGACGCACAGCAGGTTGGTGTTTTGGATACTGGAACTGAACGCTACTTGAATGAAGTTGTTATATGGTTAGTGCAAAGGACTTCGTCAGTTATCAAATCACCGTGAACCACGCTGAGCTTGGACGGTAAAAACTCAGCCGCGATACCATCTATCAAATTATGATTATACTGGAGTCTAAAGCCTCGCCTTTCACTGGTGTTCAGATTGCAAAGACTAGGCTCGATACCAGCCGCCCTGTCATGCAGCGTACCGACCACCCTCCCACCCTTGGTACGCGTCCCACCAACTACCGAGTAGACTGGTCACGAGTCTATGCGAAGACTTGAACCATCTTTAACAAATATGTGATGATTCTAAGAAAGTGTTTATTGCCGGTAAGATTCATTCCTCTCAGAATAACGAATCATGCACTCAAAATTGCTGTGTTTTTGCTGGATGTGACCGCGCAGCCTTCGAGACGTACAGGTAATGGCTACTCGCCATGTCGCGGCTTCCGCTTCATCCTCGACCCGACTGTCTGCATCTCCTTGCGGCCCTCTGCATGCTCTCCGTACTCTTTTCCGGCGGCTATTCTGGTATAGCTGTTGTCTTTACTTGCTTTTTCTTCACTGCTGCTTCCGGCGCACTCGTCAACGTCACTGTCGACGACCAGGGCGTAGACCCAACGTCAACATATGGCATCTCATATACACCCAATTGGAACATTGGGCAGGCATGTATTACTTGTAAAGCTAGACCAGATCTCGCGCAGGCGAAAAACGGTACTTGGCACGATGCAACGCATCATAATCCATCGGAAACCCCGCAAAATGCGACTTTCGACTTCACCGGTATGTCTCGTGTACGCGCCGAGGGCTGATGCTGATTTTCTTGCAGGATTCGCCATATACGTCTATGGCATTTTTTCGCACTCAAAGACTTCTCCTATCAGCAGTGCTGACATCTCGTTCTTCATTGACGGAGTCAAAAAAGGAAACTTCACATTCACCCCACCAGCTCCCAGAGCGCATACACATATAGTCAACTGCTCTTCGCAGTTGAGGGTCTCGAATATGCACCACATGCATTTATGCTGCAGAATGGGCGAATAGGTGGGCCAGCCAGCCTGGTGTTGCTGGATTATTTGGTATATTCAAAGTGAGTACGCCGTTCCAAGACATGATTTGGGCCTGACGTCGGTGATATCAGGGACGATGGTAGTAGTTCTACCCCGGAGCTCTCAGATCACAGTCCTACTCCCGATACATCCACTGCACCCGAGACAAGCAGCTCTTCTAGTGCCTCTGGTATCCCGCCTACACCCTTCCAGCTCAGACGCAGTAACCAACGGCACACATCAGTCTACTAGTCCGCCAGCCTCTCATCGTTCGTCCACAAGTCCTGTCGGAAGTTCTGGTTCGAACTCTTCTCTCGGAGACACCAAGCCTACATCGACCAGCATCTCTTCCGAGCGTCTCCCTCCACGCCAAACAACATGGTCGCACCAAACCATGCTCATGGTCTTTCGGGCGCAATGCGTACCATTGTGATTTGCCTCACGACTGCTGTATCCCTCATTATACTTGTTCTCATCGTGCTCGCACGCAAGGCTCGTCGGCACCGACACGCCGCCAGTAGTTTTCCTCACCGTGTTGCTCTTCCCAACGAAACCTCCGAATATCTCGGGCGTCTTGCAACGGTCGGCCAGGCAGAGTCACCGCCCTACTGGGAACCCGCTCCAAGCCACTCCTCAGCGTCCTATCGCGCAGAGCGGGCGAGTACGCTCCAAGAGGCGCCCCGTGCACACACATCAGAAAAGGCGGCATACGTCCCAGCTGAAGGGAATTCCGCGCCATTCTCACGGAGGGGACAAGTCATGGTTGCTGATGACGCGGGCGAAAGAGAGGGATATGTAAGGTCGGAATTAGCAGAGAGCGTGCACCCCGGTAGCAGTCTTGCGGCAATGACTGCTCCACCGATGTACGAGAGCGAGGCTGGGGCTGCACCGATGTACGAGGATGAGTAGGTATCCCCCCACCTCCTAAATGCCTCGTCTAAGAGCAGACCTTATATGAGAAGTGTGGCCGTTACCATTCATGGGTCTGTTTTAAAGAGACTAGGGAGTGAGGATGCCCGCAAACTCATAGAGGGACATTTACATGAGTGAGAGTTTGATTTATATGTGTATACGTCTACATGATATATTATACCCGGAAAAGATTTGGGCATCGCTTCTACAGAACTGTACATCGGGCGTATAAATAAAAATCGAAGCTGAGTGCAGAGTACCAAGTACATCCTTCAAACAACACATGATAATTTTCAGCGCACTTATATATTCTCGTCGACCCCTCTAGAATACGGCGGTGGCAGCGATTCGGCATACTCTGTCTGTGCAATATCTGACTGCGCGGTAAACGAAGGGTTACGGGTGAGATGTGACGATTGGTTGGAAGGGAATGCCTGCATGTGCAGCTTGTCTGGTAGATATCCGCCCGAGGAGGCATTAGGCAAGAACGAGGAGGTTATGAAAGAGGTCGACGAGGGATTACCAGGCCGCGCCAAGTGCAGCAGAGGTGAATGCGTCTCAGGCGAAGATGTCGTCCCGCTGCGAGAACGCGCACCTACAACGACAGAACCGCGGCTGTCGTGTGCGCGCAGATTGGCTGCTGATAGAGGCTGTGAAAGCAGGTCGACCTCAGGAGTACGAGAAGCGCGGAACCAGTTGCGACGGCGACGACGGCGCCGCCACAACAGAGCTAGCACGAGGAGTATTATCAGAGCAATCGCGCCGAGCGTAGCTGGTAAGACCTTGACTAGTGCGCTCGAACTTGATGCTGGACGTTCCGTTGAAGTCGGAGGAGGGATAGTAGGGGATGTCATTGATAGAGATGCCGCCGCCGCCGACGTAGTCACCGTAGCGTCCTCTTGTTCACTGAACACGGCGAAGTAAGGGCGTGGGTTGGCAAATAGTAGGAACCTGCTCACGTTGAATATACAAGATAGTCAAAAAGGACAATCGACGCAGGCCCGCCGTCAAGACCATTCTGTAACACAAAGGTATGCGGACCGTGTGGAAGTGAACGATTCGAATACAGAGTAACATTATACTTGAATGCCGCAGGGTTCGATCCATTTCCAGCCGGCGTGTTGTTGAATGTTCCCACGAGCTGGTCATCGATGAAGAATCCGAGGTGGGTCGAGCTTGTATCTCCAAATGGTATCAATGGCGATGTCACTATCACTCCGTACACGTATATCGCTGAACCTGTGCCGGAAGATGAATGAATCGTCGAAGACGCACTCGACGGACGAATATCTTACCATTAAAACCAAGAGTTGCGCTCTGGAGTTCTGTTCGTGGCCCGTTGGACCCGTCGTACGTGGCATCATGCCAGCTGCCCATATGAAGCTGTGACCGGTTGAGCTGTGCCACGCATTCGGTGCAGTTTGGTCCAAAATTCCAGTCGGATAGTGGCGAGTAAGAGAATCCAAGTCCTGTGAGCCGGTCGGTGCCTGCATCGTCTACAGTTACGTTAATCAACACGGCATTTGTAACAAAGGCAGCGATTAGCAGCGTCAACAATATGTATTTCATGAGTGGCATGAGCGGAGTTGCGACACAGAGTAAGTGAACAGGGTGGGAGAGACCGGCTCGAGCAGCAAGGAGATGGTACGGGTCGCCAGGACGTCCTCGGCAACCAAGACATTCCTCAGCATCCTTTATATGGCCGACGGCAGCGGAGGAGATTCACAGCCCCCGGTATGGTTACCACCTTGAGTAACCAGCCTGCAACTACGCATCTCAACATGCACCCTGATCGCAACATGCAAAAGACGAGGCCTCTACAAGACACCAGCAGGTGCGTAGTGCTCAGGTTTTCACCTTATGGGTCGTCGATAATACCGTAGACGTTGTCGATAGGAGGTCGGTGGTTCGTGGTAAGCGTAGGATATGACCGCAAATGGCTGGACGCGATGATTGAGACACAGCCTACCCACCAAACTTAGCTTTGATAGTGAACGATACAGAGGCAATTTCATCACCATAACAGCTTCGGAATAAACTTACCATAGTCATATCTTGCCACACCCAATCTCAGAGGGCCTAATGCAGAACTCCGTATAAACCCGCAAAGACCTAAACTCTCCGGCGGCTTACTCCAAAATAGTGCACGAGTGAGGTAGTGTAACCCCAAGTGTACTTGATGTGAGGCACTTTTCCTGGCAGGACTTGCGGTCTGGAAAGAGCCTGAGGCTCGAAGTTCAGACTCGCCCAAGCTCCTGACCACTTACTAACGCTGAGATTCGCGTAAATCGGGGCAGTGCAAAGTTGGTAAACAAGTTCTCACCTAAGTTAGGATGATTTGAGTGCTCTCGTAGGTAGAGGACGGTGTGAGAGCATGAAATGAGCTGGCGGTCTACGACTCGGAGGGCGCATCAAAATTATGGCGTCGAAATAGACGCGCTTCTGTCTTGAAGCTGCCACCACCAGTTGGTCGACCATGTCTGCGCAGGCACTGCCCGAGGAGCTCCTCGAGCTTATATTCGACCATATTGACGAGAAATTACAGCTTTCACGTTGCTCTCTCGTCTGCCGCGCCTGGTTGTTCCCGAGCTCCCGACTGCTCTTCCGCGAGCTGAACCTGCAAACCCAGCACGAGTCACCGAATAAAACATGCCGCAACTGGGGCAACTACTTCTTGAGAGCGGTGAAAGCCTCTGCGCGCATGCAAAACTGTGTCAGGAAGCTGTCCCTTTCCCTCCCCTTACCAGAGTTTTGGCACAAATGGCGAGTATGGCCTACGTCGGTCCTGCTTGAAACGCTTCGATTATTCCCCAACCTGAAGTCTATTACTCTGACACGCCTCAACTTCAAGCATGACACAATTTCTTCTTCTTTGGCTCCGCGTTGTCCAGAATATGGGCTCTCCCTCGACACGGTTGAGCTGCACGATGTACCCAGCTTGAGCATCTGTCATAGCCAAGTTGAAGAGAGCGGAGCGTCCGAAAGCACGGGGCTCGCCAAGTTCCTTGGCCTGTTTACGAGCATCAGAGTCCTCTCGATCGAGGATTATGTGCTTCCATACAGATACCCTACTATTCGGCGTGCTGTTGCGCCGATCCCACTTCCACGCCAGACACCACTCAAACTCGAGGAACTGCACTTGAAGGGAGAATCAAGTGCAAAGATGCTAGGGGCGCTGAAAGAGATGGTGGACCCACGTCACCTGCGCGTGCTCTTCGTCGAGCTGAATGCGCCGGTGCTATCGCTCGCAAACGAGTTCGTCGGGTGCATGACGGCGCTGCAAACCGTCCGTTTTTTGGTACGAGAGGATCTTAATGAAACCCGTACGTCGTCTACACCATCTCTATTTCTGCTAACATCTCTGACATTTCAGCAGGACCGGCTACCGTGGTGAACCTGTCCGCGTGCGCCGAACTGAAGTCGATAAGCATTCCGTATCTACGCAACTCTGGTAATCAAGTAGAGGCGATCAATGCGTACATAGGGTGCACGGTCGTACCTATACTCTCGACGGCGCCTCCCTCAGTTCGGTACATTCACCTCTCCCTCGAGATGGACCCCCTATATGCCGGCTCAGCCGTGTTGCGACGAGTCGATTGGACATCATTCAGCAGGAGTCTCGAACGATTCCCCGAGCTGGAGGTCGTTGAGCTGAGTTCAAGCGGCAATCATGGTTGGACGAGCGGGATGATGGAGGTAGTAAAGGGAGAACTATCACCTGCGACACGCCGGGCATTACAGTTCACGTAGGGGACTCGCTCTTCATTACAGACGTTAATATGAAGTATGACTTTTGGCATACTTCGCAATGTGCTGATTGCTAGCTCATAATACAACAATGAGCGTGTGGTACAAGGCATTCAAGAGCTTACGGGGGAAACCAATGCGCCGCGCCGTCTCGGTGTCGCGGGAGGGACTCTATATCACATCTCCTGCACAAGTTCAGCTTGGGTGGAGACGTCATGAACGAGATATCGCCGATGGCTGGCAGATTGGCGGCAATCGTCACACTGCCCGAGCTTCAAGCAACCCACGGTCATCTCAGAGTTAGCCACACTTCGACTAATAATCCTGCATCAGCATGCAGGTGGCGCGAATTATTCCAGACAAATGGTAGAATCCCAGAAGGTATTCTCAGGGCTAGCTAACTTAGTCTATACGTTAGTAATAAATACATCGTGAGCGTCTGAAAGACACAATTCGATTTAGCTTGAAGTGTATGCTGCACTCTCGAATATGCTGCGTACGAACGACGAACCAGTCTTTTACTTACTTTATAATCACCTTGTTACATGTATCTTGCTCTTGAATGCGCCTGCAACATCCGCTATACACGTCGCAGAATTTACGATGGGGACAGTCCGTGCGAAGCGCTTCAAGCCAAGACGCCGGTTGGTACAAGTAGATACAAGTAGAATCATCTCCAATGATAAATGATTTGACACCTGCAATGAAGTAACATTCACGCCTGGGGATACTAGCGCTATGGGGTGTGTTAATTACTGCCACTGGATCGTAGTAGCCTCGTTCAGATCGACTTCCAGTTCGTTAACAACGAGCTCCATCTTAGACTCGTCGTACGTCCAGCTCTCCGCAGGCAGCATCGTACCACTCACTGAGACCGCAGTAGGCTTCTGCGTCCCCAGCACCGTTACACTCTCCAGCTTGGGCTCCACCTCGTACGTCCCCGAGTTCTCGATCTTGAGCTCGCCGCGAATGGCGTGGAACTGGACAGAGCGGTTCGGCGTCGGCGGCAGGCTCTCGCCGTCGTCCATGTACGCCGACCCGAAGGCGTATCCGTCTGAGGCCTGCGATATGAGCAGGGCGTAGGGGGACGTGCGGGTCTCGGCAATGGTGTATCCGGTCTTTGCGTGAAGGAGAATCGCGGAGCCGTCGCGGATGTGCACGGGGATGTGGCCGAGCGGCGCGGACAGAGTCGTATTGGCACCGACGCTGGCATTGACAACTTCGTGGGTGTACCAGTCGCGCCAGATGGTACGGCCTCGGCCTGGGAATATACCTGAATGTGAACATTGTTAGGTCATTCTACCTTGGCACGCAGAGCGGGGGCTCACCATCTACCGTAGAAACGTTCGGCGTGAGCACGGGCGTGACGAGCAGATCACGTCCGACCATGAACTGGGTGTCCAAGGCGAACAGCTCGGGCTCGTCTGGGAACTCGAAGAATAGTGCCCTCACGGTCGGGGTGCCATGCTGCGACGAATTCGCGAACAAAGTGTACTGGAGCACGAAACGACGTCAGCTTTCTTCTCTCTTAATTGCAAGAACACCACGTACCCAATACGGCAGAAGTGAGTACCTGATCCCAATGGCGGTCCGACTGGCATTTGCCACGCTATCCCACCGGAACGGTTCCTGGCTGAGGGCACCTCTCTGGTTGTGGTTCCTGAAGAACGGCAGGAACGCGCCGAGCATCATCCAGCGGCTGCAGAGCTCCTCGTCCGTGTTCCCTTGGAAGCCGCACACGTCCGCACCAACCATTGGGATGCCGAACAGCTGGAACTGAAGCACGCCGGGAAGACTCGCGCGCATGTACGCCCACTTGCTGTAGTTGTCACCGAGCCAGTGCCCAGTCCACTTGCCCGACGACGGGAAGGTGCTCCGCGCAATGATGAAGGGGCGCTTCCCCGGATGGATCGAGGAGAGCGCGGCGTGGGTTGCATGAGACTCCATCATCCCCCAAAGGTTGTGCGTGTCGAGCTCGACGTACCCTCCAGCGTGCGTCGCATTAGTGGCAAGCGTGCTGACGTACAAAGGACCGTTTCCTGTACAATGACAACGGTGAGAGTCAAATTGTGTGTCAACTGGGGGACGAACCATTGTGGACGGCGTATGGCGGATCGCTGAGGTTCATATGGTCTTGTGCAGAGCCGAGGCCTCGCTTTCCGATCAGCCCTTGACTAGGATCGATGTCGGCCCCAGCACCGTACGTCAACGTGCCGTTGACAGTGATGTTTCCACTCGTGCCAGAGATAGTTGAGTTATATCTAGCACCAAAGACTGAGCTCGACTTGTGTCAGGGGATAGAAGCAGTCTACTTACCCTTCCGGCCAATCCGTGATCTCCATTCCGGGGTCGCCAGGAAGTAGAAACGACAGCGTAGTGTTACTCCAGTCCTGTCCGGTTCCACTGTTTCAAACATAAGCTTGCGTGCAATACTGCACGGCGGTCTGTTACTCACCAACTGCCGTTGCAGAAACTCGAGATCTCGTTCATATCAAGCCAGATGCCGCTGAATTCGATACCCAGTGCACTCCAGTTTGAAAGTGCCTCGGTCCAGAGCTGCTGGGTGTTGGGACCGAACCAGTCGGGGAAGACGGTGTATCCTGGCCAGACCTGGCCGATGTACTCTGAGCCATCCGGGTTCTTGACGAAGGCATCTCTGCAAATATATCAGCTACTTGAACCAAGCGGAAATCCAAGAGGCATACAGTTCGGCACCGCGAAGGTACGGAGCGTACTAGCATAGCGAAATACGGTTAGCAGCCAGGGTGCGGGAAGATTGTGCATGCTTACGAGATCGCTTGCATTTCCTTGGTGTGCGATGGCAGCGTCAACGATTGGGATGTAGTGCTGATTATTTTGGGCCTGTAAAATAATGACGTTTAAGAACTTCGGGGATAAGTGTTCGTGTTATTCGGTTATTCGGCGTACCAGCTCTTGGATGAATGTCCGCATCTCATCGGGCGGGAACGATACGGGATCTGCAGTGAAGTCCCTGAATGCGTGGTACAGGTCGATGTCGTTCCACATTACTATGGGATTATGCTAAGTCGCCTGATTCGATTGCAGTGGTTCCTTGAGCCACATACCTTCGAGCGGGACATTTGCATCCTTCATACCCTTGACAGCGTCCATTGTTTCGCTGATGTTCTTGAACCCCCACCGACAGAGGTGGAAACCAAGGCCCCAAGCAGGCTGCCATGTCGGCTTGCCAATCACGTCCGTGTACTGCTCGACGACCTTCTGTGACGTGGGACCCGAGAAGAAGTACATGTCAAGAATTCCACCAACGAGACGGTATTCGATGAGCGAGACGTTTGAAGAGGCCGGTGTGACGAGGAAGATATCCGCGGGCGCCGCGCTGAGCAAAAGAAATGGGTTAGAAACCGTGGTATCTGAAGATCATGGCGCAAAAGTACCTGAAGAGAAAGACGCCATGAGACTTGGACGTGTTCGTCTGTTCATCGAAGCGGTGCTCCAGGTAAATGGGATGCGAACCATACCTACAGAGGGGCCCTGTCAGATCCCGAATAAAAAGAACACGTGCAAGAGCAGGCTCACACATTCTGGTCTAGCGGATCTTGTTTATCTCTGTTCCAGAACGTCTGGAGAGTGCCAAATCCACCATTGTCGCCTACATCGCGTCGGAAGCCGCTGCTTGCAACAACCTCGCCTAAACCGTAGATATTTGTGCCCTTCGGAAGCGCAGACGCGAGCTGTAGGTACGAATCTTCAAATACCAACGGGAACCCGTCGAGCGCAGTCGACTGGTCGGAAGCGTTCAGAGGCGGGATAGGCGTCGGAGGCAGCGACGAGATACGAGTGTCGAACAAAGGCGCGTCCGCGGGGGAAGAGCGGCGAGTAATCCAGAATGCAAATGGCGAAGATTCGTAGTTGAACACGAGGTCTGAGCTATTCTTGTTCGAGCTAGTCGGTGCTGGTGGAAGCGCGATGACAGACGAAGGCACGGTGAACTGTGACCGCGCGGTGTCGTAAACATTGACGTGCAGCCTACCAGCGATAGGCTGGGCATCAGCAGGAATCCCGACGCAAACGATGGGAGCACACACCGAGTCTCAGAGTCATAAGTGACTTCAAGGGTCAAATTAGCGAGATCGTGTCCAAAAGCATTACACGCAGGACCAGCGAGCGCTAAGTCGGCCGTGAGACCAGTAGCAGTCTCTGCCAGATTTTGCAGAGTGTAGCCTAGATATTCGCGATGTAAACGTCAGTATGACGTGTATTTGTAAGCCAGATGGAGGCATACCTGGGCATGCAGAGATGTTGCCAGAGAATCCGCTGGCGGCAGCGGCGTCAGTTTGAGGCAAAACTCGTTGCTGCAGTCGGGATGGCTCTCGCGCAGCAGCAATACCTGCAGAAAGCAAAAATGCGAGGAGCACAGTGGGCTGCATCGCGTTCGGCCCTCGTACAAGCGACCTTCAGCGGGAGAAAACAAGCCACTCCGAATTTTCACCTGTCCGTGGAAGTCACCAGCCCTTATATACTTGAGTTTCGGTAATCAACAGCTAGCTACGCCATGTCCATCATAGAAGATCTCCGTTAGCGTAAAGGCCGAGACCGTACCAGTGACATCGGAAGAAGTATTCGAGGTCACGTTGGGTGGTGGGCCTTTGGCCGCCCCGGTTTTTCCTGCTGAGAATTCACCGCGTGACCAGTCTCATGCGGCGGTCGAATACAACGAGGTTGCGCTTCGAAACTGCTTAGCATTGGACCTGGTGGTGACGAGGAGAAGAGTTTATTTGGCGCCTGTTTAAAGTTAAGATAGCCGAGCAGTCTAAAGCGCCAGACACTTAATCTGACGGTTCCAATCCCACGTCGCTTGTTCTTTTCCCCCTCCTTTTGGTCGAACAATGGTCATAGGAACATATCGTTGATTCTAGATAGTTCAGGCAGTGACGACTCGCGATGCCAGCTCACTGGAAGTCCATCAGTAACGAAAAACACAGTAGAATCTGTATAACGTACGATACAAGCGCATTCAGAACGAGTCTGCGCAGCCGCATGGAGAGAATGGCGCACCACTAACTGTCCACTTTAAGGACGTCTATACGCATGCCTGAAGCTGATACTGATCTTTGTGTCTCCCTGGCCTTTATAATGAGCCACTAGCGTGTCGACCAAGCCAACCAGTTCCGAGAACAATATCTTCTTCCGAGTCACATCCCTTGTTACCACTCGAACACTCCGCAGATGAGCAAACAGCTCGAGCGGGCTGGATCCTTTGTCCCACCGGCCACTAAGCTCAACGTTCGCCTTCAAGTTCTTTGAACGTGGGACTTCATACTGCAGCTGTAGCTCGCGAACGCCGGGGATCATTGCGAGCACCTCCCGCAAGACAGTGATGGGTGTACTGCAGATGTCTTCGAGATAAACGACCGTGGCAGTGGATAGCGGCAGCCGCTGCAAAATGTTCATGACGAAGTCTGGGTCTACTACGTCACCCACTGAGAGCTCGAAGTAGGGCTTCTGATACGGGATGACTGGTGAATCCTCGATAATGCTGTGGACATCCGACCACAGCTTGACAGAGATGGCGAGTCCGAAACCTTGTTCCGCTTTCCCCAGAGTCAGTGCTGCTGTCTGTACCACCCGCCCGTGGAGTTGTGCTTCGATGAGCTCGCTGATGCGTTCGTTGAGCCCTGAACCCGGGCACGAGCGACTGGAGCACGCAATATTATCCGCCTGCAGCTTCAAAATCGATGGTTGCGGGCACATTATGTGGTCCAGAAGCTGAAAGAGCTGCTCACCGCTTGACGCGGTGAGCCGCAGTTCGCGCAGGAGTGGGAGCGCCACCTTGCTCAGATCCCAGCACGGGGGAGACACTATAAGGTGGTCGTTTTCTTCGGAGAACGTGATGCTTTGGTACCACCTGTCACCTAGGCCTTGAATGGCCAACTCCTCCAGGTTCGGTGAGCAGCGCAAAGCCGAGATAATCTGAGCCGTAGTATCAGTCGAGTTGTATGGCCGGGGGTAATTTATCGCAAGACAGCGAAGCCTTTCGCCCATGAAGAATGTCAGGTGCTGGTAATGCACATTGAGGAGAGTGCAGACCCGGAGGTTGGGATAGTCCAGAGCTGAAAAGAAGTTTTCGGATTGCTCGAAGCTGTGTTCACTCTGGACTATGACGCGCAGTGCCTCCATGTTGGGAAGTACGGACAGCTCATCGCTAACTTCGTCGCCATCTTTGCGAGCATCGAAGCCGTTGCCGATGACAATGACGTCGCTGGAGGTGAAGCGCGTGATGTGAGGGGACACCAGTGCCCACGACAGCTGGTACAACTCGGGGAAATTGCGCTGGAACGTCCATGATGCGTAGATATGCAGCGGGACATTGTCCGATTCGTTCAAGAGATGCTGAACACATTCAGGACGAGTGAGGCAGATGTAGCTGGAGAGCGTTGGGTAGTCGAGGGCGATCTGGCGCCATCGTCGACAGACATGCCTAACCGCGAACCAGCAATATGGGTTTGGAGCAAACTCGAGGCTCGAGGGATCGTCTTTGTCTATGCGGAAGTATATCTCGTAAACCTGGAGGATGTACCACTCAAAGACTTCGGCCAGGAGCTCGGGAAGGAGGCGGGCGATAGGCAACGCTGAATGTAGCGAATCTGTCGGGAGCGATCAGCTCTGCCATACTTCAAATGACTATCGCTGTCCTAAACTCACCATGATCGCCTTCCCAAAGTATGGACCGAAACATAGAGTCCCGTTGTCGCGCATGGCGCGAAATGTCGCGCTCCCAAAGCATGGACGGAAACATGGAGCTGCGTAGAGATTTCTGATGCGGAGCGTCGGTCGATGGCACGCAAGCGTGTGGGAGATAACCAGCCTATGCAGGTACGATTGTGTAGACAGAGTCGCAGGAGCGAAGGCTCTGTACGACGTGCGAGGTTGCAGGAGTAAAGACTCTGGCAACGCAGGGAGGAAGGTTGCAATACGCTGGGCACAATCTAACACAAGGCGCGAAGGGGTGCAAGTACAGGCTGTACGCAGATGGCTCTAGGTGCGAGTTATACCGGGCGAAGTAAAACAGATCATATCTGCATCGGACATGTGCTACGCGCGTTAAATACATCATTGCAAAACAGCCGAGACATCCACCGCTCAAGCGCTGAACGCCGCTCGGCTCGCGGAAGAGGAGTCGGGAGCTCTGGGACAGCCAAGCGCCGCAGACGAGAGAACAGCGCAAGAGCAACGCGTTTTTATATGCTCAGAGACGAGCTCGATTAGCTCCCCGGGCAGCATCTGCACAAACATTGTCGACCTGCTGTGGCGGTACGACACCAGGCGTAGGCTCTTCTGGACGCCACATCAAGCGCCTTTGATGCGCCCTCGGTGATCGGTCCGTCTGCAAGGCGTCGGCGGCCCAGACACTTGGTCATCATCTCTTCTGCATATCGCTTCTGTATATACTCTTTGAAACGCGGAAACAACTTCACCACAAGTGGACCTTCTTCATAACCAAGGACCTCAGAGCTCTCGGGCCTCCGAGGCTCAAGTGCTCACACCTTACAGAGCTTTGAGTAGCAAACAGTCTATGCTCCGCTGCCGAAAGGCGCAGACCTTTACGAACCTGGCAAACATCAGTAGTCAACAGGGTTTCTCTTCGGCCTCCCGTAGTCCTTCAGGAAAGAAATCAGCATAGAGACCATTCCAAGGTCGAAGGCACGCGTGTAAAAATCGGATATCGTGTGTCGGACACATATTGATGAAGTCAAGAGCACCGTCAGTCGCGCCGTCTGCGATCCTTCTGCAGCACTATCCTGCGGGGAACGACGATATATCCCACCCATATTGTCCATTCAATTTCTATGAGAGATCGTGGCGCAGTGACGGCTGTCATTAAACAAGGTTGGTCTCCTCGTAGCGACGAGCTTCGGCGCCTCAAGCTCTTCCCACTTCCACTACCTCCTTCCGTCGGTGACGGCTTGTATAACGTATCTTGCTGCCTGCATATCACTCTCATCCACTGCAGGTTGGCTGCGATGAGTAGTAAGTCACCCATTCTAGTCAAATCTGCTCGGCCGGTGGGCTCCAGTCTTTCCGGAGGATTCATCTGGAGGAGATGGAGGGCGATGACTGCAGGCAGAAAGAGGCCGGAACGCGACACGTATCCTGGTGCGTAGCTTGCACATAAGACACACAAACTGGAGTTCAAACTTCGTCCAGGCCTCCAGATCGCACGGCTTCCCGAGGAACTTCTCGCGGAAGTCTTCTACTGGTACATCCTAGACGTGTGCATCGCTGCTGCACGTTGCTCATATTCCTCCATCGCCCTCTCTGTCGAGGAAAGCTCTTACAAGCACCTCTTTTGTGCTCCCAAGCCATATTCTTGGATCATAATTCGACATGTGTGCCGCGTATGGCGACAGGTAGCCTTGACATACCCGAGGCTATCCACACATATCTTCTTGACTCGACCAGAATGCGTAGAAGACCTGTTAAGCCGAGCGGGGACGCTTCCACTACATATCTACGACCCCGGTTTCACCTATGTACGCAAGAACTTGGATTGCGTCGCGGCCTCATGCAGGCGTGTGCAGACCCACATCGACCGCATCTCTCACGGCACTCTGATTTTGGAGAATAGCGCAGCGAATGCCAACTGTCAAGCATCAGTATCTCCCGCTAAGATTTGCAAGGCTCAGTCGCTTCGCATACTCTTTCTGTCGGAGCTGTTCTCCGCTTCGAACACTCTCCCTCCCGATCTCCATTTTCCCGAGTTGCAGGACCTGTCCTGCTATAATTATGCAATCACTGCACTCCGTCCTATGCTCACGGCGCTGCAGCTTCGAACTCTGAAACTCGCTCACTGCAACCCCATTCCAGCGAGTGATTTGATCGCACTCCTGGGGCCTTTGCAAGCTCTGGAGGAACTCGTGTTGGACATGGCGATTCTCACGGATGAAGACTGGCCTCATCTCGACGGTAACGCTTCAACAGAGCTCCAGCACAAAATTACTCTCCCCAATCTGCGTGCCCTTCGCCTTACAGATACATGTGCCGCCACAGGGTTATATTTCCTCCATCGTATCGTCCGCCCTCCCACTACTTCTCTGCACCTTTCCTTCATATGGCTGAGCCAGGTTTCTCATATCAGCTGCGACTGCCTGAGCACTCTGGTCTTCAGAATGGTCGACGACTGGAGCCACCTGGAAGCCTCACCAATCCGGACCCTGCAGATGAGCGGCTCAAGCGGAGCCTCAGACTACTTCAACCTGCGTTTGTGGCAAACCCGCCAGCCTGTCTCCCGCCCGGACCCCCCTGGCACGGGATCCCCCTTCTTCCAGCTCAGCGCACAGTCGGGCCAGCGCGCGGTCTTCGCTGGTCTGCTGCGCCGGCTTCCGCTCGCGGGCGTCAAGTCTGCGCTCGTGCTGCAGTGGACCGTCGGCTGGAACGTCGTCGACTGGGAGACGCTCTTCGGCGCGATGCCTGCGCTCGAAGAACTCGCGCTCTACTATGAGCTCGTCGACACGAGCCGCTCGCCGCGCCATGTCTTCGCGCCGCGCGACACGCGCGCGCTCTGCCCGCGGCTCAAGGTCCTCCATGTGCACGAGTCGCACCCGAGGCACGCGCACTGCGGGCACCTCCACGTCCCTATCGTCCCCGAGGACCTCCCGCCGGACTTTGTCACGCTCGCGCACTTCGGGCGCGGGTTCGCCCTGCGCGGCGAGCACGAGAAGCAAACTGGCGACGACCAGGACGCGCTTATTGTGCACTTCAATGGAGATACCCGACCCCTCGAGGACCCTTCACCTCCAACTTCAAGGCGCCGGCGCTCGATCTTCAGGAGACTGTTGAGTTTGAAGAGTCGTTCATCTCGTTGACGACTGTTTAAGGCACGTCGAGCGATTCTACGCAACTCGGAAGAACGAACACCTATGACTGTCTATTTTGACTACGATCTGGTGGTGCACGGAGATCTAGCAAAGGTGTGATACTACCAACGACTTTCCTGGCGATCCGCCGTAGACATAGAAGTGTCCCAGCCTGTTGCAGTGTCTTGTAGTTGCTCCTATGTGTTACGCTGAAAGGTCTATGTGATTTTAGCTGAGAGAATTCATTACTGCTTGTTCAGATGGTACGCGGAAAACGTCCAGTCAGGTCTTCGGATGCGAGCGCCGCCGGAAGGATTCGAGTGCAGACCAGTCATTCCTTCAGTGGCAATCTCATACAGGGCCCTGCGAATTGACGCGTAGAACGACGAGAATGTGCGATACCGCGACACGTAGCATTTGACGATTTTTACTCATTTCTTTGCCGTCTAGGGCTAAAGGAATATCTGTACACAATAGATACATCAAGTGATCCCGAATAGGACGGACAGTGCTACATCAGACGAATATCGATACAATCCGTCTTTTGTCTCTCTTGTATATCTCAAAATCTCTACAATAGCTTCACGCTTTGAGGTCAACAGGCGCAGAATACCGCTCGCCGAAGATGCCTTCCTGCTTCGCCTTAATTTCTGCAGGCAGACAGGTTAGCCATTGCATCGCAGCAGGGCCAAAGTAGAGACGCACGCATAGCAAGGTGCTTGGAGAAGAAGCGGCCCCATGCCAAGTTGCCCATCATGTACCAGTAATTGGGCAGGCCGATCTCGCGCCAAGTGCCACGAATTTCACCCTCGGCGTTGAGGCCCCAGATGGGTCCGACCTTCTTTCCTTCCTCAGGGCCAACAACGTCGGTGATTGGTCCTCGGGCATCATCGAAGCTGTTGTCGCGCTATCAGACGTGCAAGAATAGGAAAGGATGAACGACGCACCCAGTGGCAAACATGACGACGTCTGCGTCGAGCTCGCTGCCGTCGGTGAATTTGATCCCTTTGGACGTGAACCGCTCAATCTGTGTTCCATTCTTGATCTTGATCTTGCCGTCGACGATCATCTGGCATGCACCGACGTCTGCAAGAGTGTCAGCTATGCCCAAAGAAGGAAAAGGAAGACGGTCGCACCAAGATAGTAGCCGCCTGCACGTTTGAGCGCGAGGAAGAGGAAGCCAGAGCCGTCCTCGCCGGAGTTGAGCTTGTAGCCCCTTTTGACGAGGCCATCCAGGAGCTCTCTACAGAGTCGTTAACCTCAACTTCTCCGCGTAGAGATACGCCAAGCATACTGGTCTCTCTCCTTGATTGCAACGGTCGCACGTTGAGCAAGCAGTTTTGTGAACAGAATCGGCATCGAATTCTCGAGGCGGTCGGCCTCTTCGGTCGGCGGGCCCCCTTCCCAGTAGTTTGCTAACACAAATTGAGTCGCTAGGCGTTATCGCGAACGTCAACCTATACGCACGCTTCATGAGAATGGGCATGCCCTCCTTGGTAGTCATGATGTACGTAGTGCTGCGCTGGAACAGCGTGACATCTACGCCATGCTCGACACAGTCAGCAGAGATATCATGTGCTACACGAAAATCAGCTTTGATGCGACACGACCAAGACGACGAGAGACGCACCTGATGTGCATGCGCCAATAATGACAACCTTCTTGCCAATGTGATCTTTGGCGGTCTTATGCTGCGTCGAGTGCAGCACCTGGCCCTGAAACTCTTCCCTTCCGGGGATGTCGGGGATGTTAGGCTTTCCACCGCCGAGGCCAAGTGCCATGATGACATGATCGACATGGAACTGGCGTTCGGAGCCATCCGCACGTTTCACGGTGACGTCCCACTTGCCGGTCTCGGGGTTCTTTTTCGCGGCAGTGGCGGTTGAGGACAGCCAGATGTTGAGCTCCATCGTGCTCGCATAAAATTCGAGCCATTCAGCGAGCTTCTGGGCAGGGGTGTAGATAGGCCAAGTTGGCGGGAAGTTGAGATACGGCATGTGGTCGAACCCTAGCAAGCAGGTTTAGGGGCTCAGCATAAAACGTAGGAAAGCACATCACGCACAGACTGGGTCGTGCAAACACAGAGCCTCGTACCGATTCCTCCACTGGTCACCGATGCGAGGTTGCTTCTCGATAATCAGGTTAGACACGCCGAGGCTCTTGAGCCGCGCCGAAACATCCAATCCGCTCTGTCCACCACCGATGATAAGTACCTCTGGGTCCCTTCCCTCGAACGCTGCCTCCTGACGGCGCTGGTCCGCCCACTTGCCGTGGTTCGGGAGCGGATTACGGTTTGGACCGATTGCCTCGGGGTAGTCCTTGAGTTCCTCCAGGTTTGTGCAGACGATAACGGCCTTCCAGTGGTCATTCTTGTTCGGAACGAGACGAGCGATACCACGCCCTGTCGCTACCTTCGTCTCGAAATCGAACTGGACAACGATCCAAGCCATGTCCGGGAACGGCTGCTGGAACTCGGCCCTGCGAAACTTGACATCGTTGAAGCCCTGGAGATCGAGCCGGTCCTCGAGGAACCTGGAAATTTGGTCGCCGCCCTGGAAACTGCGGAGGTCCCAGGTAAGTGCAAAGATATCGCGCCACCAGCCGTCGGGCTGAATGATCGAAAGAATGCCCTGAACGTCCTTGGACGAGGCGAACTGGGCGAGCTGCTCAGTCCATGACCGTCCGATCTTCTCAGCGTCAACGTCCGTAGGCGGCTGGACGCCAAGCTTGTCAAACGTCGGCAGAGAGGTAGTGATAGGATGCGGCTGCATGACAAGTTTCAGACGAGGCAAGGGAGTTGACTCCAGGCTGCCTTAAAAGCTCCTCTCCAGGCTGAGAATTGGAATGCTCGCGGAAATGATCGATATGCCCAGAGTTCAGGTGATGCATGCATATGACGAGCAAATGTTAAATGTATCCGCCACCGGTTCACACGGGTCGCTCGCTTTGCCGGTACTGCACCGCACCGTGTCGCGTCGCGTCGTCTTGAAAAGCCTGGGGGGTTTCACTCCTCTTGCTTCTGCTGCACTCCGAGCTTGCCTTCTAAGGCGCATACACATGGATATTCAGCTTTTCCCGCTCGCTAAGTGGATCCGGACCACTATCGGTGCTAACCCAAGCGAATGGGACACGGTCAGGGACCGTGCAGGGACAATACGCGACTCGGAAGCTCGCCAACGCCGGCTGGAGTCTCTCTTCCAGCTGCCCTTGACTCGTTCGACGGTCGGAAATCAAGAGATATTATTTGACTGACGAAGCCGAAATTGAGTCGAGATCCTTGGATGGCGTCTGGAATCGGCGAACTGGCTGCGTAGTACGTGAAATGGCTGCTTCGTAAGTCTTTCGGAAACACAGGAACACGCGCACGACGCACCTGTGACCTCCTATCATTATCAGCCTGCATCTCCGACTATCTCCCTGGTAGACCGCTCCTCATATCGTGATAGCTTGTTAGTCAGTTGTGTGCATTCAACCTGTGGATGTGGATCACGGGCCTTCCGGCGTCCATGACGTTACTGCGGACGCTTGTTGAATTTCAAGGCCCTTCAGCATTATCAGCATTTAGTCGACGGACGTCAGGAAGGACTACGGGAGCGAGTGGATGAGGACGGTGGTCATTGTTCGAGTTCAACAGAGTTCAAGACGTGGCGAGCGTCTTGGCGCTGCCCGGCCTTATGGAAAACACCGGCTATATCACAAACAAATTAAACTAGTGTACATATTCCTATTAGCCTGTAGACATATGTCCACAATGTATCTAAGTCTATGGGCAAGTGTGCGAATACACTGCAGATTGAGGTGCGGGTATTACAATGGTCGTGAAGTAAGATACATACAAGCGTCTGGCGAGGAGAAATGATGGTGACGACGAGTACAGATCCAACTTATCTCAAGGGAAACTGGTACATAAGAGCAACCCAAAACGAACGTGCGAGTGAGATGGGGGCGGCCCATGATCGAAGGGGAGGCTAGACGTCCTTTGCGGGCCGTTGCATGGAGCTTGCGTTCGTGTACTCGCGGCGGAGCGGAATGCCGACACCGTGGATGTGGTATTGCTCGCCGACGAGCTCTTTCGTGGCGAGCATGAGGCGGTCAAGGCGCAAGACGATGCCGAACGCGGTCGTGCAGCCAACGGAGAAGCACCTGCGTGTGTGTGAATATATGCGTCAGGAGCACTGCACAACAAAGAACCAAAGATGGACGCGAAACGCACAAGTACTGCTCGTTGGCAAGCGTATCGATCGTCATCGTCCGAGGCAAACCGTAGTCGTCGTCCGCCTCTCCGCGGATGACATTCAGCCCATGCGAGTTCTCCATGTAGCGGTCCAGCAGCGGGCATGGTGTAATCTGCGGCAGAGGTTGCCCCGTTTTGAGCGCGGTCGAGATCATGCCTAGATCGACCGACGCCTACATTAGCAAAAAAATACACCAACAGCATGAAAAAGAAGTTACTGACTAATTACCGCAAGCACATCTCCCTGGAAGTCTGCGTCGAGCAGACGCGTGCGCCGCAGGAATGCACGACGCCAGGCGGGCTCGAGCAGCTCGCATACAGACATCAAGTGCGAGAGCAAGTATGAAGTTTGTCTGTACATCGATGGGATCAGCCACAGGAGACGCGCAAAAAGAAATGGGGCATGGGGCACGTACAGCTGGAGCTCGAGAACCTTCTGATATCTCTCTGCAGGCCATTTGCCGCGGAGCGAGAACTGTGGGTGGAGCAAGTGAGACAGGGAGCGAGTCGGGAGTCCGATCGGACGCACCTCGTAAATGATGTTTGTGCGGAGAGCGAGCGATCGCTTGAGTTTGAGGCGGATCGCAATGAGGCTTTGGATGACGGCGCCTTTGTCGACTTCGGACGAGCCCTGCGTGTTCGCGAAGGACACAACTGCGCAGTACACGCTACCAATTTCCGCTACAGTTGTTGCCATCATCCGACGCTGGTACGCGCGCAGGGTCGTCGACGGTGGAAGTAGTGATGCGAGGCTGTCAGCAGCACGCCACAAAAAGCGAGATCATGAGTACTGGCATGCGATAAAGAACGCGGGGTCGACGTACAAAGCTGCGAAGACGCCTGCTGTGACCAATACAAAGCGGCGCTGATCAAGGGGTGAGAGGATTCGCAGATCAGAAAACTGAAAAGACTCGGGAAGCCGGCGGTGGAGCGTACCCAGGCCACGTTAATCCCATAGTAGATGAACCCCGCCGGGAAGTGAGTGTCTTGCCACGAGAAGCCAATAACCTAGACAACAGAGTTAGCACCGCACTAGCTCAATCGCTTCCGACATTGTCGTGGGTGCGGCACAAATGGCTTACCAGGAAGGTCGTGATGAAGAACTATGCGGCGGGAAGACATTGGTTAGCATGGGCTATCAGAAGGGCCAAAGCGAACTTACGATGAGGTTAAACATAGGTGGTCCAGGCCAGTAGAGCCGACCAAAGAAGAAGAAGGGGAAACAAACGCCAGTGACTGCTGCAAGACCATAGATATTGCCGTGGCCTCTTCCCGTGGAGATATACCTGCAGGGGCATGTACGTCAAGGTTTGCCGTACACGTAAAGCCGACGCGATACGTACCACATGGCTGCACCAACCACACCGCCGAGGAAGGTTGAGATCAAACGGGCCACGAGAGCAAAGGTCGTATCGCCCCGGAACCGCGAAATTGTGAGCTGACCCATAAAGCTATGCGGGAATAACATTGAGCAACATGGTTCAAAGAAAGAGATTTGCGCTTACATTCCCCACACGAGATGTTCCCCTGAGAAAGTAAAGATCAGCTAAGTTCAAAAGCCAGCGGACTTGGAGAGCTTACTGTACGCGAAGTGCGCCGAGCCCTTGATTCGATAGGGTAAGCTCAACAGAACAGTGAGCAATCCGGCCTTGATCGCGAATACTGCATTTCCGTTTCCGAAACCTACGACGAGCCTATGCAACCCATACATTACGGTCTCGAAGGTGTTCGACGGCGGAAGTGCATCTGGGTCTCTGCGCCCGGTCATCCCGAGGTCCATGTCAGGCTCTTGCTCCATGTACTGCACGACATCTGCATGAAGTTAGCGCACGGCATCTGCTGATGGAGATAGCGATGCGCACCGGGGTCCTCGTCATCATCGCCGTCCAAATCGGGTGGGTTGCTGACCGTAGGAGAGAGGAACCAAAGGGTGCTGAAAATTTTCGGATACCACAGCCGGGGCTCCTGACGCTGATCCTCCAGCTCGATAATCTCGTTCAGCTGTCCGACAACAATGAGCTTGATGCAACCAGCGATATGTTAGAAACTCACCAGTCCCTCGACCAGTGTTGCGAATTGCAGGATGTGATACTCATACATATAGCAAGCGAACAGATACTTGTGCGGTGGTGCATCATCCGCTCCACCCCTGCCAGCTCTGATAAGACTGGGATCAAATGCACAGCGGTACGGATCGAGAACTCGAAGCCTACGCCACATCGCATGAGCGGGGATGCCTGCGCACAAGTGAGGAAAGCAGCATACCGCGAGTATTTTCTGAAAGCCTCGATGGCCTGACGCAGCTGACTCCTGTCCTCTTCGAGCTTCTGTCTCCTCTCCCGACGAATTTGCTCTACCTTGTGCTTTCTGCACCAATCCACCTTGCGCACGCCCGTGACCCACTCCTTGGCAGCGGCCAGGCCATCCTTGGACGCACCGAGGAGGCCGTCGCACGCCTCGCTCAAGAGCTCCGTGAACTCTGCCGTCAGCTTGGGCGACTGAGGGTGCGAGAGGCGCGCCGCCTCAAGCGCGATGTAACGTTGGCTCTCGAACACACCGACGACGCTCTCCGCGTCCGGCGGCGACGAGAGAGCGTGCGCCAATTCGAGCAGAGAGAGGTGGAGACGATGGTCGTGATAACCGCTGGTATGATGCCGGCGCGGGTGATGGTTGCGCGACCGCGACTGGTGCCGCGCTATCGCCCGATGCAACGATATGCCACCGTGTTTGCGGTGGCGCACGGAGTCCGACGAGTCCGCTGTCGGAGTCTGATCGGTCACTTCTACGGAGCGGTCCCGCCGCCCGCGGACGGGTGAGCTGTTGCGTGATACTGCGGGTGTGTTCGATCGAGTGAAGGCCGGCGAGCTTGGCTGGGTGGGTGCGGGCGTAATCGGGAACCTTTCTCTCGTCGGGTCAATAAGGGTGAAGTAAATGTTCATACCCTCCGCGCGGGTCACAAGCCGTCGAATAGACCATTGAAGAGAGGATATATCGGCAGGAGAGAAGCGTCCCCAGATAATGTCACGGGGCATGAGACGCAGCCAGATAGCAGTCGGCGCCACGCTGCCTTCCGACTTGCCCACCAAGCCCTGGAGCTCCTTCACACCCGTCGCAAACTCTTGGGACGACGGATCCATCTTGAGAATCAGCCGGTGTTTCGCGAGGAATTGGTCCAAAGGGTCGAAAATACGACCAATGGCCGCTGTGTACTGGCATGTAATGGTCTGAGGGAAGATGGTGACGGCAGAGAGGATCGAGAGAGCGGCGTGGAAGCCAATAGGGATCACGACTGCTTTTCCGATTTTGTAGAATGGATATGGGAAAAGAGCGGATGTCGACAAGCAAATGTCTAAACAGATGCAGCTCAGCATAGTCGGAATGAAAAAGAGGCCGGGACCGAGTTTGGCTTTGAGATACGAGAAGAATGCGCTTCCAATGAACAGAAAGATGGCTGTTATGATAACGGGACCAGCTTCAACGAATTGCCCCGTTAGAATTTGAGCAGTCGGTGCATTGTAGTCGACGTGATTGCGGGATAGATTTGCTAAGAACAGACCCAGACAACTCCATCTAGACAAATCGGTGAGCTGCAGCGCATATATCGAGATATTAGATATCTACATACGCCCATGCCAGGGTCACAAATAGTAGAAGCGTGATTTCAGCCTCGAGGACCTGTATGAACGGACCGGCGGGAGGTTGAAGGAACGCAGCTGATGGTCACGGCGCGATTCAGAACCAAGGGGCTAAAACTTGAAATATAATACGCACCGATTAGAATGAGGAAACTACCCTAGAACAGTCCGTGTCAGCACCTTTCTGTTCCCAAAGAGATATAGCGCAAAGCCCGCTTCAATAACGCAAAGTCGATTGGATAGGATGCGCGGGAGAAGGCTGACGAACAAAGGACTGAGGGGATCGACATACCTGACCCAACATGACCTCGAGTCTTGGGATGGTGAAAAACAACACTGAGATCCATGCTACGAGAGCAGTCCTGATCACGGGCTTCATCTTCGGCCACGAGAGGTTGGCAGGAATCCATTTCAGGTCGATGGCGAGCATATGTAGTACCCATTGAGCAGCTGAAAGTCGAGGGGTCCTTTCACGCTCGCCTTCGATCTCCTTGTCCCTGAGTGTCGAGGTGCTAGGCTTCTCCCTGAGTGTCGAGGTGCTAGGATGAAACCTGAGTGTCGAGCTGCTATGCTTCGCCCCGAGTGTCGAGCTACTATGCTTCACCCCGAGCGTCGAGCTGCTGGGCTTCGCCCCAAGTGTCGGGCTGCCGGGCTGAAACTTGAGTGTCGAGCTGCTCGGTTTCACCCCGAGTGTCGAGCTGCTAGGCTTCACCCTGAGTGAAGAGCTGCTAGGCTCCGCCCTGAGTGAAGAGCTGCTGGGATACCTCCGTGGCTCGCCATCGTCAAAAGTCGGGTGTGTGTCCAGCGTGACATGCTTTTGCGTCTGCTGCGGCGGAGTGGGAGGGATTACCTCTATCTCCTCGTCGGACCCTTCGTCGCCCATCCGAGGGTCGTAGTGTGCACTTTCCCTGTGTTCCGCCATGGGTGGATAGCTGGGGGTAAGACCTAGAAGTGTACAGGGAGCATAGATATACAACAGATAGCGTCTTTGAGGTCGTTTGGTGGTTGTCCGGTACGAAGCCGGCCGTGAGTGTTTGCAATTGCCCCGCGCTGCCTGAGCGGGAGCCCTGCACGCGCAAACCGAGGAGGGCCGACGGCGCCTTACGTCATAGCACTCGCTATCTCCGAGCGACCCTGGGCGCTAGCGTTATTCCAGCTTTTGTCCAAATCTCTAAACTGCGCCTTGGCGTTGTGCTGCACAGTGCAGACATGGACGACTCTACACCCCCACCGCCGCCAGCCGAACTCTCGCCACCGCCAGCTCCCCCTTCTGCGACGTCAGGCTCGCCCACCGACTTTTTGAAGGGCGTCGTCGGAAAACGTGTTGTAGTGCGGCTAACATCCGGTGTAGATTACAGAGGTCAGCTATTTTGATATTTCCGGGCCCCGCCTTGCTTACCAGATTTATTCCGCAGGCGTTCTATCATGTCTTGATGGTTACATGAACATCGCTCTTGAGCAGACAGAAGAGCACGTTAACGGCGTGGTTACAAACCGTTATGGCGATGCGTTCATCAGAGGCAATAACGGTGCGTTTACGAAGGCCTTTGCGTTGCGACGCTGACTGAGGACACCCTTGCAGTACTGTATATTTCCGCTGCCGAGCTTATCTGACGTGCCGTATACTCGTCGCCGCCTTTTCTTGTCGGATGCTTCGGGCGCGGCGGCCGACCCTGAAATAAATCGACTTGGCTTCCTCAGTTGGCGCATACCGTGTGCCATGTTGGACTCAATGATCATTGATCACTGCGGAAGAATGGGCCTCAAGGGTTGCCGCATCTGAGAGCGGATCAGAGTCGTACTGCCAGGACAGAGTCGCCGACGCCAGTAAGCACAGCATCCTTGCGTGGGGAAAGTCGAAAATTTGGAAGTACCGCACGACATGGGGTAGCAAAATATGTGTCGACCGAGTCCATGAAGCTTGAAGTTTTTATGCTCGTCGAAAGATTGCTGTAGTAGACCCGAGTCTGCAAGTCGAGCGTAAGAGTGTACATATCACTGTCGGTAATTGCCGTCAAGCTGTGAGGTTTGGGCGGCTATAAGGCATCGGGTGTGAAAATCGGACTGAACGCTTTCTTGACACCATCACATTCCGCGCATTCACCCCGCAGGTCGACCTTGCAACCAGGTGCATTATCTCCCTTTAACCACATTCAATGTTCTGTATTGACTGTCGACGTACTCCCGAACGCAATGCAGGATTCCCGGTCTCCTGATCATCGTCGCCGCGCGCCACATACATGGCTGTGGAGAATGACGTCCCCGCCGTCGGCGGCGGGGAGAGCTCAATGCAGGCCCTCGTGCAGGCCTTTGCCATGATTATTGTTTCTGAAATTGGCGATAAGACCTTCCTCATTGCTGCCATTCTCGCTATGCGCCATCCCCGCGCCATCGTCTTCGCAGGCGCGTTCGGCTCGCTCGTCGTCATGTCCGTGCTCTCGGCCTCGCTGGGACACCTGCTACCAACCCTTATCCCGAAGCGCTGGACGCAAGCCCTCGCCGCGGTGCTCTTCCTCGTCTTCGGCTGCAAGATGCTCCAGGAAGCCCGCGAGATGAAGGCTGGGAACGACAAGATCCGGGAGGAGATGAAGGAGGCCGAGGAGGAGATTGAGGAGAGCGAGGCTGCCACGGTGAGCCCTGCGAACGGAAATGCCCTCCCGCTGGAAGAGCTCGAGGAGGGCGGCCGCGCCCGGCACGCACGCAAGCGCTCCCAGTCCACGACTCGCGCCCAGAGTCTCGTGGAGAAGTCACGTAACTACTTGAGCGTGGTCCTTGGCCCACATTTCACACAGGCGTTCATACTCACGTTCCTGGGCGAGTGGGGAGACCGAAGCCAGATTTCGACCATCGCGCTTGGCGCGGCGCATGTGAGTCGCAGTGTTGATCGTCTCTGGGAACATAGTGCTTACTACGGTTGGGGCCCATATAGAACGTCTATCTCGTCACACTGGGGACAATCGTGGGGCACGGCTGCTGCACGGCCCTTGCGGTCATCGGCGGACGCTATGTATCCACGAAGATCTCCGTCAAGCATGGTATGTCTTCTCCCGAGTCAGACCGTTCTGCGCTTAACTGGTTCTGCAGTCACACTCGCCGGGAGCGGGCTCTTCATACTGTTCGGCATTATCTATCTCTACGAAGCATTTCACTCTATCGATATAGACGTCTCCGATATCACATATCCGTCATGACTGTACCATTGTGCACATAGCTTATGTCCCAGTATTCTTAGACATGTTCTAATGACTGCATCATCCAAGTTTCTGCGACGTGATCGCTCGTCAGGACTTCGTGGCGCGCCGCTGCGGATGGAAGACGTTGTAGCTCCCATCTCTTTGGGTATGAGCGCAGAAAACGCAATATTGCAAATGAGTTTCTGGGGTTTCCCGTGGCCGGAGCTAATATCAAGACCCGAAGAAGTGCGACACATCGTACACAGGACCATGAACAGGCGTTCATGCGGCACTTCAGTGGACAAGGACGAAGGAGCACTCAGGGTTCTGAGACAGTGCTACTCCAATTCGATCATGCATGACGTCGACGCGCAGTCACACATGCATGCTACGGCCGACGCTGACTGTGCTTGGTCAAACGGCTCCGGCGGAGGAATAGTGTGCTGACATAGTCACGAATATCTTTGCATACCGCGTTGAAAGCTTGACTTACCCCAATAGCTTACCTTTACTTACTGCAACTTACCAATTAAACGTCCACGTAAGAGTTGGCTCTGGTCGTTGAAGGACCTTTACTGACTGTCAAGCCCCTCTCCACAAGCCAGTCTGCGGCCCCTTTATCATCAGCATTATCGTGGGGATATCTTGAACTGTGTCGGGATTGCCTATTCATTTACTTCAACTTGCGTTCATTTACCACTGTTTCGAGGCTGATAAGCTTCGTAATTGATTCACCACACTCCCTCGCTCGTCTCGGCCTCATGTCCGCACCCATTCAGACCCGTCCGCACTGTGCATGGCCTTTAGGTTGCCGATGGCATCGAGTCCGCCACGCACCGGACAGACCTGCTAATACAAACGGCCTGCGACGTCAAGGTAGACCCCACTCTTCTAGAAGGGCACATGCCTATGACCGGGTGCAGATTGCTTTCACGAACGAGAAGCGGCGTCCGCGGCGACGAGCTCTTCGCGGCAAGGACAAGACGGTGTGAATCCCTGTCGCCATGGCACCCTCCGCCTTGGTTTGCCTCTCCCTACACTGCTCTGTGCATACGCTTGGCGTGCAGTTTGGGTTCTGGGGTGAACTTCTTGACGGTCGCATTGCGTCCGAATGACCACTTACTGGCACCCAGCCTTTGCCTAGCCCGGCTCTGACGTGATCTCCCCGCGCGCGCCAGGGGACGAGGGACCTGGACGGATTTTCGGTGCGGTGTTCTGGTGACCCTGCACAGAGCTTGTCAGAAGCGGGGGCAATAGCCCGCAGGCCTGGAGGCTGTTTTCTACTGTGTACACCCACTTTGTAGGCTTTCTCTCAGCGCAAACAATACCCCCTTGGGCCTATACAGGTTTGCTATACCGGACCTTATTTGCGTCGGGGCAGAGAGTGGATAGTACGTTCTGGCTTGGTTCGCCCTCGTGAGAGGGACGCCGCGGATTGCGTGGGAACTCTGATTAAACTCTGGCCGGGTGCCGGAGGCACGAGCGTATCTTTCTCAGCCTCGCAAGTCGTTCTCAAGAAATCGCATGGCGACGTCTTGATCTGTATATCCGCCAGGGGTACCTCGTCAGACGCGCCAGGGGACGTCTCTCATCGTTTCCAGAGGCGGATCTTGCCCCTCTGGCGGCACGACCGCAACGTCGGTCCCGGAATAGAAAGCTAGAGATACCTGGGGCCGGCCATGCTTCATTGCTGTGTGCTAACTAAGGCTATACTCGCATCCGGACCCTTGCGTGGTCACACGCAATACACGTGCCGTCACGGCGACTGCTCGAGGAGCAAAAATGAATAAAATGTGCGACGCACATTCAATCGGGATCGTGGCTGATCCGCACTCTAAAGCAAAGATCGTGTTATGTATGTCGAGGAGCGCAATTCAAAAAGGACAATTCAATCTGCAGCCAGCCGTGTTCCAGATACTAGTCTACATCATAGGGGGACAAGCGGACAACGCGATCTACTTACGGATCGGTCGTGACGTTCGACTGCTCCCATACACTCCCCGAGTCCGCGTGTAGACGCTGGCACGGAGAAAGAAAGACAATCAGCAAAAGTGGTTGCTTGATGATGTGCGCGAGACGTCACCTCTGGTGCAATGTAGAAACGGGCCAATGCCTCGAGGATGCTGCGACCCGTCCAGTTCTCGATCTCCTCAACCTCGGCGGGTGTGATGAATGCGCTCGACTCGCGCGCAGCGAAGACGATATGCGCCGCGGCGGCGCGAATGCGTGGAGGCGGCGCAAGGAGTGTTCCGTCCTTAGACGCGGCGTAAACGTCTGCCGGCGGATTTTGCGTGGCCAGCACGCGTGTATCGGATATGGCTGGTGTCGCAGGCCGATCACCCACTGGGGGACCTGTCCCCTGAGAGGGCGGTGGGTGGGAGCCGGTAGGCCAGCTCGCGGCGAGGTGCAAGATCTGAAACGTTTCCATCTAAGATAATACCCCATTGGATCAGCGGCGTACGCTCCTGAGAGCAAACAGGCGCGAACGTGTTACCTCGAATGTAGCGAGATCCTTATGCAGGCTTTGCAGGTTTCTGATTACTTCAGAATTGTGGTCCGGGAAGGATGTTTGCCGCCCTTGCGATGAATAGAAACTGACAGGACCATTTAGACTCGACTCAATCTCGGAGAGACGAGGAGCCCTACCTATCAGTTGAGGCGTTTATTGTATCCGTGATAACGCCGGCCGTTACGGTTGGAGGATGAGTGTCGCGCAACGCCTTCGCAACCTATTGTGCTCCCCAATCAGACTGCTAGAACGGCATCAGGGGCCTTCCTACGTACCGCGGCACGGAGCTCTTCGTCAGCTTGGACCTTAAAACGGGCACATAAGCACACCCAGGGACCCACTCGCTCCCAGCGCTGACCATTTACTCACCGGCTTGCTGTATCTATACGGAGGCTCCGTTGATTGACCGGTTTGGAAATCGTAATCGTAATTCCGATTGACAGCGATGCTGGCCCTTGGGACGACTACACTCCCGACCTCGACGTCTCCCAGCCCGCCACAAGAGCCCAGTCTGTTCGCGCAGTGCCGAGAAGGCGATCCGTCAGGCTGTTGTCCGTGACGCGATCGATGAAGAACGACGGCGACCTTACCACGACCATGTCGCCGCTCAGGCACTCTCTCACCTCACGCATGAAGAAGTCAGCCATCGAGTTTCCCATTCCGATGCTCACGATGGAGAGAGGAATGCCCTGGTAGCGGCCAGTGAAGATCAGAAAGCCACGTTCGGTCGTGAGGTGCCAGGGCGACGCATCGAGGAGACCAGCGATGCGCTTTGCACGGGAGGGCGATCCCACAGTGATCTGTGCATGATAGGCACGCCAATTGAGACGTCGGCTGAGAGGGTTTGTCCATCGACGCAGGCTGGTAACTTACGATGCGGTTCGCGACTTCGCCAGCCCGTATGCCTAGGTGATAAACGCGCTGATCGAGCGTGCGGGGAAAGTCTACGCGATGCAAAGGTGAACGGCGGCGAGTAGGAGCATGAGAGTGCCCGACAGGCAGACTCACTTGCGTCCGCGAAGAGGTCCTTCATGCTTGCAACGGCGAAGGTCTCTGACCGACGAGCTAGCGATGCAGGTTCGCTTCCGCCGGGAGCGGCGCTATCTTATCTAATCTAATCTCGGCGACGGGCATCAACCGCAAGGTTACCATCACGTGGCGACATTCCCGCAAAATTGCAATGATCCAAGAGAATATTAGGCCGCAACCGTTGCAGTGAAAGTCTCTCGTGTAGCGAGTACCGAGTTGCGGTGTAGCTTGGCGGTGAGTAAATCTCCCGAATTACGAGGCATTTTGTGCGATGTCTACGACGCTGACGTCAAGGCTTCTGCAGCTTGTACATATCAGCATCATTCTGCCATTCTGCTCGGGCTGGCACGGTCAGCCGACCAGAAGGGATTCTAGCCTACGTCCACTATCAAGGAAGAGGTCGTTAACCCTGTGCACTTCACACGTAAACATCTCGTCCGCGGCACAGCCCTAAGGATCAGACGTCCGCCCGCATCTTCCGCCCGATCCTGTCGAGTCAGACCCCGGCACAGAAAACCCACATTGACCCCTCGTGGGGACCATTCGCAGCGGTAAGCACCTCGTTTTGTGACGTGTTCCTGACCCCACCGCGTTCCGACCGTCAAGGCTCCCGGTGTCTGTGCCCAGCCCCAAGGCTATCAGGAGCTCTTGCTCCGCCGCTCTGGTCCTATGACAGGCGCAAAGTAACGGTGCATTCCCTCAGGCACATGTGCAAACAAGGAGTCGAAGTACTCACGTCTATTTGCAGGCCGCCTTCAGTGCGCACGGTGCCAAAAGGTTGGGGACCCGAACCTAGGAATGTCGATGGCCATCAGGACCGTGGTTTATGTTCTGCCTGGCCGGCGGCGCCATCCCTTTCGAGGTAACGCATTCTCATGTCTGGTAATGCCCAATCTACCTGCTTTTGCCCTCATTTCTGCTGAGCCATAAATGTAGGGGTCACCTGGGGCTCAGTCCGTCCGCCGACTATGGGATAACGTTTTGAGGATGAGCATCCGCTGGACGTAACAAGGGCGCAAGGTTACGTCAGTGAGGAGAGGATGCAGAGGTGCGTGCTAGCGATCGCTATGCATGAAAGTCTATCACATTCTGGGTAGTCAATGAATGAATTGTGGTCGAGCACGGCTGCCAACATACAATTAGATCCACAGAGAACGAGCGATAGTCTGCCTGGCTAGAAGACACACAGCAGCGATAGGCACTGGCGCTCTCTCCACAGAACTGAATTGTTGGGTGCGTCCTGATTGTTCGAATCAGGGAGCGAGCGCCTCACTCCTCGCGAACCCAGGAGCGACAACGACCATTCATAATCCCAAGCTATATAGTGGAGCGTGCGTCGTCTATGTCGGGGACGCTACAACGGTTGGACGATACCTCTAGCTGTCCTCCCGGGCGCGTTTTCTCGGCACTCTCGCCGCGTTCCCCATTCGTCAGGAGACTTCACAGTCTCAGCCGCTGCCACGGCAAGGAGCTCCAGTTTCACCACGCCCCAAACTCGCTGTGCTTCCAAGCCGTGTCCTCCTGGGAGATGTCGCAGATCGCCCGCTGTAAGGGCTATTCGGCTCCCACTGCCTTCGGTCCCTCCTGCTGCGTCGGTCCAACGAAGATCATGCGGCTGCTGGAGACTTGCCCACTTGTGCTGTCACTTTCCACACAAGATCTTGCGGGTCTGTTTCAGCAAGTGCGCGCTCGCCGGAGCTGTCGTCGTGGTTGACATCTCACTGGCATCCACGATAACGGCGGTTCCTGGTCACGGGTCGCAAGCGGTAAGCTTTCATTCCCATGTGCAACTACCGCGACTTCCCTGGACACCGAGAAGATATCTGGCGACCGTAGCAGGGTAGGGCCCCATGACCAATTTTCCGGTGAGCAGAAAAGGCATTCTCTCATCTCTTCGTTACGGTTCTAGCACGTCGGTGGAGATCAGCGGACACAGAACAGGCCCCGCCGGGAAGTGCTGTCACATGTTCCTGCAGCCAGAGTCTAGCCGGGGCAGGTTCAGGGAGTGACTATTCTGGCCCGTCGCCCGTGGACGGAGCTGGCCTCGCTTTCCAGCGCCGCACGGCCTTCGCGCCCGACTTCTCATGATCCTTTGTACCATGCGCATCCGTCCGCGGGGAAATGTGCGTTGTTCGGCTGCGCTCGAAGGTCGGTTCTGCTCCGACAAGTTTCCTGAGCGAGAGCGCGCGCGGGAACTGGGCTATCGTGCACCTCACAGAAGCGAACCCCTGACCGGAATCGAGGTCCATCGGGAACGGGAGCCAATCCGAACATTCAAAAGCGCCCCCGACGGGGGTGGATGAAATTCGCGTGAAGGGTTCTATAATTCTCTACGGACTGCTGTGTTACGAATGTGCAGTACAGTACGGCAGTTTGCCATGCGCAACTCGTTTCTTGGCCGCGCGAAGCAAGAGTGTTCCGTGCATCGTCTGTATGTTCTACACAAGGATGTCTGCCTTCCAGAACTTGCTCTGCGTTTTGCGACCCGGAGCCTCGAGTCATCGATCAATATTTTCCGCGCAAGATGCGCGGGAGTCCACAAAGAGTGAATCGATGACCGGCTGCGAGTGTGTGTGTCGCAGCTCCACGCCATGCCAATGCTGGAGAGGGTCGAGCACGCCAACGGATTGTCTGATGTGTCGCGCGCACTGCCCTGAGCGGGTGTCGAATTGTTGGTGTTGGGAGCGCGTCGGCGGCGGCATGGTGACGGGCCGCAGAATCCAAGTCCGATTCAATCTCAGCTGATGCATCCGGGCATCTCAGATTTGGGCCATACGTCACGACGAAAGTCCGACTTGCAGCGAGGCCCAATCCGGTGAGTTTTTCATTTCTTGTAGATCGTTTATAAACTTATGGCATGCGTGCTCGCCACCCAGTCACGGACAAGAATTTCGGGAGGTCGAGAGCTGCGGCGCACAACGACAGCCGACTCCACGAACGCGTGCCGGATGTCCTGTTGGCTGTGCAAAGCAACGAGAAGGTAAATCTGCTTGTTTCGCCAGCGTTGCCTGGAGAGAGAGAGAGAGAGCCTGCTGGGAGTTGCCGAGGCATCTGGGAACTACGCATCGCCTTTCGGTGTGGAATCAGCGGTCAATCATATCCAGAACCATCGGAAGGGAGGACGAGGCTCCCACGGGAGAGTTGGACAGCCGTGTAGGCGGCGACGGCCAGGGTAGACGCCGCAGTCCCTCTGAGACTCTTGTGTCCGCGTCCGGGAGTGGGTTGTGCGAGTGACGTCTGGATGACGAAGAGGAGGTGAGAGCCTCGAGGACTGTACCTCCGAGCGGCAAGGTTGTCAGGCTGGCCGAGTTCACTCAAGTCCACTCGTGCGAGCAGGAGATCATGAGACTGGGTCACAGCGAGCGCCGTTACTGGGGACGACTGACGCCAGCCGCCTGACGCCTGAGTTCGACGCTAGCCGGATGGGGAACCAGAAGCCTGGAATGGAACGAAAAAGGCAAATGCTGGCCTGTCGGATCCGATGACCTGGAGAAATCAGCATTTCCTGCGCGAAACAGGCTGCGTGGACGAGAATCGCTCATTGGACCTCAGGAGAGTGTGCCTCAGGCCCGCCGGTTTCAAGGGTGCATCGGATGCCTCCCATACTAGGTTCCTCAAGATGTGATCGTTCGCCAGAAAAACCGCCGCTCAGGTCTATTTCTCGAACGCATGGGCTTGGCGGTCGCTCTGGACGTCAACACTCCCCAGCCCTCAAAAGTGGCTAGAGCTGGCGTGGTTTCGGATCCCACAAGACCCTCCTGGCTCCAACGCGATCTCAGTACGACCACCACTCACTGCCGGCGTCAATCTCCCGCCCGGTCCTCTCATTACGCGCCGCCTCCTCTTTGCTCGTCTGGCCCTCCTGATCGCTCTGTTGCTCTCCTCTCCCGCCTGCTCCTCCCCGTTGCGCATGCAGCGCTTCCCCCCGCCCATCCACTACACGGGCTCCTCCAATCTCGACATGGCGGCTGAAGATCACCCCCGCGGTGGTGATGGCGAAGGTTTGGCGCCCACATCGGCACTTGTTGCAGGCTGGACTCACGACTCGCCAGGTGCAAGCGACGAACTCGAAATGGCGGGCAAGTACTTCGCTTGAGACTCTTGCGAGCACCGTGCTGACATCCGTGCTGCCCACAGATGACCCCCATCACGCGCTGACGTCGCAGACCCTGAACGCCGATGGCACTCCCAAGCGGCCCATGAACGCCTTCATGATTTTCGCGCGCAAGCGACGGCCGCAGATCTCGGCCGCGAACCAAATGATGCGCACGGGTGATATCAGCAAGATCCTGAGTAAAGAGTGGAACGCGATGGAAATGGTCAGTACGTTTCACTTAGTTTCGCGGATGCAGATCTATTGAACACAGTGTCCATAGGCGGAGAAGAAGTTTTACCTCGACCAAGCGAAGAAACTGAAGGACAACTTCAACAACAAATACCCAGACTATGTCTACCGCCGGCGGCCTAACAACTCGCGCAAGAAGCGCAAACCTGACGCAGATGCGCAGTCCCCCACCGAACACTCCGTCGGTGGCGACACCGACGACGCGTCGGTCGACGATCCATCTCCTGTGGATGCAGAGGACCAATCTCGGGATCCGCATTCTGCACCGTATCTGTATCGTCCTTCGTCAGGGACGACTGGAATGTATGAGAGCGGGGATTCTTTCCTATCATCGCAAGCAACACCTTCATATCCATATGTTGCAGACATTCCACCGGCACAGTATGGTCAAACTCCGAGGTTGTCCCACCCAGACCAATCGCTGCCACAAAATTCATTAACTCCCCTTCGGATACCCTCGCTCGCAGAAACCGTCGCTAGTGCTCAGGGACAGGGCTTGTCATATTCGGCTTCTCGCGGGAGCTCGAGCCAGGCGACGATTACCAGCCCAGTACACGCTTCGCATTCACCACAAGCCTACTGGGACCCTCGACATGCCGGCAGACCAGATGAGGGCAGGTCAAACTGGCCCTCGCTGGACATGTCCGTGTCGCCGCAGCAGAGGACTGTGCCGCCCAATCGGTCGGATGCCTTTTCCTCTCAGGTTCCACAGCGCCCCTGGTCGAGCTCGGCATCCTCAGCAACTTCTAGCAGCTCTGGAGGCGCATCCGGCTCGCACTACGCGAACTCTCAATTCCCGACGCTCACGTCGCCCTTCTTCCCGTCCCAGTCCCCGATCCAGAGGTCTGCGGAGGCCGTCTCACCGTCTCCCTCGTCGCACCCCAGCAGCTCCCCAGAATACTTCTCCCGGGCTTCCTACCCGGGCGCGACGTCTACCGTGCCGTCAGTACCGCAGCCAGGCGGGTCTGGGTACCAGCTCCACCACGGCACTTCGTCGCAGTGGGGACCCCAATACCCTCGTGCCGGAAACGAGGCACAACAGCGTTCCTTGCCCGCACTGCAGCCCATCTCCACTTACCCTCTACCGTCGACGAGCAGCGCCTCTCCTCCGCCGTCGAGTGCAGGTGCACACTCGTCCCACATTCCATACTGGGATCGGTCTAGGTACGATGGACGGTGAAAGCATGTACTTCTATAATACGACAACCCCATGACCCTCGTGATACCATTTTATTCTGTCCCTTGTAGCGTAGGCTTAAACCCCCTCTCACATGTTCGTGTATTACTATCCGGGAATTTCGGACTCATTGGTATAGTAATGCTCTGTCGTCGCATGTTCCTGTCTAGTGCTTTTGTCTATTTTCATACACAGCAACCTTCCTCGTGTTCTGCGAAGTGACGAGTCAGAGAAGGGGCTCTGCCCGGGCTCGCGCGCGTCGCCCGACTCAGGGATGGAGTGCGGACGTAGCCCCGCATGATCCACACGGGAGTAGGATGCGTCGGATCTGCCACAGCCGCGCTGATGCCTGTGACCCGCGCGGTGAAGGGCGCAAAAGGGGGGTGCTTATATGGGTTCCTCGACCCAGGCGGCAAGCACTGGCATCAGCGTGATCGCTTGCGGCTCGGTTCCAGGGGCTTTGCGAAGGCGCGTTCGCGTCTCTTCTGACCAACGTGTGCTGACAGGCCCACTCCGGGGTGGGGGAGAAGGCGCACCCGCGTGTCGCGAAGTTGTCCAGAACGCGCGGCGCGGCAGAGTTGTGCGTGGCTTGGGGGTGGGGCGCGTGCTAGCACGAGCGGCGAGCTAGGTGTGGCGGAGGACGCGCGATTTGAAAGAAACAAGGTTGGGGACACGCTCGATTGTCGTCTGAACGCTCCCATGGACGCGAGAATATCCGTCGCGATTTAGACGAGACGCAGCCAATTGGGCTGTGCCAGCACGGACAGGCCGCGAAGATTCGACTGTAGCACTGAACTCAATTGCATTTCAGATGCGCTGATGTTGGATTGTCAGACAGGGACGGTTGTGCGGGAATGATGGTTCCGTGATCGCTCCGAGCGGGGAGGGAAGTCGGGTTTGCACTGTGCTATGCAAGAAGGAAGAAAAGCCCGCCATTCGTCTGCGGAAACCTCGGTGGCAATCCAAACTGCCAGCTGCTGGACACATGAATCTTTATGGGAATACCACACGTTGTACATCCATACAGAGGCGATAGTTTGTCAGAGCAAGAACATGCTTTCACCAACTTTGGGCTTTTCGACCGAGCCACCTCTGAATATTCCCGCGCCTGACGCAGATATGCCGGGGTCGGCTCGTACACTTTCTGTTTTGACGGCTCCGGTAAACCTCTGGCAGCAATCACGGGTAGTCTGTGTATTAAATTGCGGCCACATGCCGCGCCTGGAAGACCTCAAACCTGCCGCCGGAATAGAAGTGGAGCGCCGTTAGTGAGCTTGCATGCCGCGCCCTATGTAGCAGCTTACGAGTGGGTTTGAGAGACGGTTCGGTCGTCATGATGGCGGGCTCGGTCGTCAGGGGGCCGACCGTTGTGGCGCCCCGAGGTTGGATCCGGCAATCCGGCAACTTCCCCAGTGCCGGCGGTTCACTGCCACCTCGACGCCTGCTATAACAAGCTCTGACCAGTATACCAACCGTCCCCTACGGAGACTCGCTTTTCTAGGTCTAAACATGTCTGTCAAAGCGTATATTGCACCTGTGGTCGATTCTACTGCAATATTCAAAGAAGGTCTCTTCAATGGGAAGGTTCTCTTCTGCACTGGCGGCGGTTCCGGAATCTGCAAAGAAATGACACGAGCTGTGGTAAGCGGTGTCAATAGCCTAGTATATACAATATCAGGACATGACCGGCTGTTTCTTCCAGATGCGCCATGGCGCAAATGCAGTTATCCTCGGACGAAAGTGCGGTCTCATCTGACACCGCTGCCTATTCACAAAGTTGAATTATGTTCACAGGATAGACCGCCTGACGGCATCCGCGGAGGAGCTGTCAAAGGACACAGGCAAAACTTGCGTCGGCATCCAGGCGGACGTGAGACAGCCCAAGACTCTCCACGATGCGGTTGCAAAGACCATCGAGAAATTCGGCCGCATTGATTTTGTGATCTGTGGTGCGCATGTGCTCGCATGAACCCACGCCGACGCCTCATTTCTCACGGAGCATGCCAACAGGTGCCGCTGGAAATTTCTTGGCTCCTATTTCCGGTCTGTCCGAGAACGCCTTCAGGACAGTGATTGAGATCGACACTGTAGGTTCATGAAATAGCCCGCACGCCTTTTTTTCACTGATGGTGGGCCCATAGCTTGGTACCTACAATACAATCAAAGCGACCCTTCCCCACGTCAGGGCCTCCAAGGGTTCGTATATCCACGTAAGCGCTACTTTGCACTACAAGGGTAAGAGCCTCTCAACAAATCTTGTCCTACGTCTTTCTCATCCTTATGCTCGTAAAGGAACGCCTTACCAGGCGCATGTCTCAGCGGCCAAGGCGGCAGTCGACGCCAGTGAGTGATTTCCCAGCCCCAGACACTCCGCTCCGCTGAGCTGACACCCACTCTCGCAGCATCTGCGGTGTTGGCCGTGGAAGAAGGGCCCCACGTGAGTGCCTCTCGGCGTTTGTACCGCTGTGTCGCGAAGGCTGACCATGCATCACCCTCAGGGCGTGCGTTCGAATGTCATTGCACCCGGTCCCATCGCGGGCACTGAGGGCATGGACCGCCTCGGCACCAAAGGCAAGGCGGGCGAGACGGCGGTCACGGCCATGCCGGCTGGCCGAATGGGAGACGTGCGCGACATCGCGAACACCGCCGTCTTCCTGTTCAGTGACGCGGCCGCGTTCATCACCGGGCAGGTCCTCGTCGTCGATGGTGGCAGCGAGCATCTCCGCACCACCCAGCTGCCGTACCCGCAGTCCGTGCTCGACTTGCAGAGCGTCAAGCACCTGATCACGCCACGTCTGTAGGAAGGAACATGGTAGAATCTATCGATTGCCTTTTTCGCACGTCGCACCGAATATACTGTTTGTAAATCTTAACTCGCCATGTACCGGTCTGTGGACGAATAGAATACTTCGAAAAGATCGTCTGTGAATACTATGGGTGTGCTCGAGGAGCCATACACGTAATATGTGGACTTCGCTCGTCAGGCACGCCGTGCTCGATAGCGAAGGACGGTCCATCGTATCCGGTGGGTAGCAGGAACGGCCGTCAAGGTTCGATTTCGAATTACTACCCCGCACTGCTCACAGCAATGCGGGGTAGCTGCATTCAGTCCCTGCAATGTCCCAAAGCTGCGCGAGACATACATCCGTCAGCAATCGAAGCTACTGGGGAAGAGGGAAATGTCTCACCAGACTTCCCTGAGATTGCCCGGTGGCGGTGGGCATGACGAACCAGGCCGACGAACGGACGGTCTAGGCAGCGAGGCTTGTGCGTACGGCCTGTGGAGCAGCAGATAGACTGGCACTAGGCCCGGAGCATTCGCATGCTGTTGCCTATGAGATCGAGCAGCATGTGGCAAAGAGCGGGCGGGGTCACATGGAGGTGCTGCCTAAGGAAGGATCAGAAGGAGCTTTCGACGAGCAGAAGATGCCAGAGCTTGCCTAGGAAGCGGAGAACATGCAGAGCATGTGAGGGCCGCGAAGCTTACCGCTCCTAAAGCCGAACAATAGCAGGGTATTCGGGCCCTGACAGCTGGACTATCTGAGGGAGCGACGATGAAACGGCAGGGGCCAATGACAGCGGATGGTTGGCTCCCCCAGTGTCGGGCCCGGGATGCTGTTGAACCCTGCAGGACACGGAAGAGGTGACCCTGGGTCGACGTCCTCGGGACCATGCTGCACCCACTTGGCAAGAGTTCACGAGGTCTTGCCCGACCAATTGTCGGACCCAAAAGATACGATGGACCCTTCTGACGAAGATGGCGCCACTATCTTGTCTTCTACCTGACCAAGTCGCGATGGCTGCCGCGGTCCGGAGGCGGCCGTTGTGGTTCAAAAGGAGGAGATACTAGATCATTAAATGGCAGTTAAGCTGCAAGTGTCAGGAGAGATACGGCGAGAGAGCTCACGGATCGAGAATGTGACAGCGGCGACGCCTCCCGATACGTCTCAAAGGCATTTGCCGTTCTACAGGGAAGCGTCGATGGCTAGATTCACATTGTACAAGCCTAATCAAGGTGGTTTGCGCCAATTAGCATGTATGCGAATTGGGAAGAGAGCAGGAGGTCTGGCACACGAGGTATTTTGTAGCCCCCGCACTGCGTCACCACCGTTCACCTGACATCGCAGTAGGTTACAGGCCAGGAGCTCAAAGAGATGAGATGAGCAATGTTGTCCCCCGCTGGCAGCCCCATTATATGACTCACTTTGCACCCTCAACGTCTCCTGTTTGGAAGCAGACACCCTGCACTCAACCAGCACCCCGGAACGATAGAGCCACGGCCGCGAGCGGCCTGGTGAATCTCCGAGGCAGCCCTGCTCCTCCCGACAAAATTCCTGCCTTAGATAATAGCTCAAATTCGCGGAATAAAGGCAACAGACAGCGGTCGCAGCGTTCTGAAACAAGCGCGTTTCAGCGAAGTTCAGTACTTGCGAGGAGGAAACTCGGGATATTACCTAGCAGTCATGACCATCATACGAGCATAGGTCACTTACAATGACTCTCCCGATACCGTCGACGCTCTAGACAGAATAAGGTGTGATTATTACCCTGAATTTGACTGCTAAGTACAGGGCGACGCAGTGGAGAAGATGCGACGTCAAACTGACGGGCACCGAAAAATCCCCGAGACTGTAGCTGCTTACGGCGTAATTTGAAGATTATCGGAGAGCTCTAAGTTCTGTCTGCACCTCCAGAGTGCCGAGCGTTGATTGGTGACGACGGCGAGTTGGGGGAGAGCAGGAGCGCGGGAATTTTATTCGAACTGTGAGAGATTTAATTGGATGGCCGCCCGCCTGACATGTTGTTCAACACCATCATCTATGCAGACAACCTCAACACCCTAGGTGAGCCACACTCAAGCACCAATTCTAGGAAAATTCACGTACTCTGCGGGCAGTTCGCCGTTGTGCTAGACATTTTTCCTTGAACTGTTTCACTTTCCTCTTCGGCGCGGGCGCCTGATATTTAGGGCAGGCGCTCTGGCGTCGGGGCAGTCGACCTCGCGTCCTCACTCCTCGAACGCGACGCTCTCGCCCAAACATCGACCACAACGGCCTACATATCGTCGCGAATTATTGTCGGTATTTCTCGGCATTTTTGACACCTTGCCTTAATTTTCTTCTTGCCAGGTTAGGTGCCCCCCTCGGCGATGATAGGGCTCGGCACCATGGTGTCGGCGCGGCAAAACTAGCACCTATACGGTAAACGTCAACCTACGGCTCTGAAATTGTGAGGAGATCTCACAGCGCCATCACCTCAGAAGCTGACAAGCCGCGTTACAGTGGGACTGGCGAACCCTGATTCACCGACATATGGCCGTAACGTTCTCGACGTTGGTCCAATTCGCCGCACCAATGGCTCCCGCGCAGAAGATCATCTTGAGCATGGACAAGCGACCGGCATCGGCGTCGTATCTAAGCAGCCCTAGATGCGTTTTGTCAGCGATCATCAAGGATCGGTTCAGCTTTCTGCACAGACCGCAGACTCACAGCTTTCTTTCTCATGCCTGGTCACCTCCAACGTCAGAAGCGGGGCCCACACCCTTCCGGGAGGTACTTGGCTGCGCATATATGCGCAAGCTTGCCTCTGTCCGGATATCATTTCAGACGGGAAGGCGCGGCATGCCTATATGCAGGCCCCAGACTCACAGGAGATAAAAGACCCGACGTGCGGGTAACGCATTCGGCACAGAATCTGGGTCGCAGTCCACGAATGGCCAAATTTCAGGGCGCTGTCGGGCGCTGGAGCTGTCCAAGCTCGTGAAAATGTGAGAACACAGCATTTAGCGTCCCGCTTTCGTTCTCACAAGTTTTCGAGTATTTGGGCACATTCGGCCTCCCTAGAAAAGAGACCGTCAAGCGTACAATGCTGTCATAGCCTTGTGGATTCCTCTTTCGCTCAGTGGGTGCGTGTGGTGGCAAACAGAGCAGATCTCGGGTCAACGGTCGACGGTGAGATTCCCTTGTTGTCCCATGACCTATTGCACTCCCCTCAACGTTTGCGCTACTAAGGCCTTTCGCAGGCTGCTCAAATAGTTATCTCAGCTGTCGTCGGGCGGCCTACACGTGCCAAAGTATGCCTGGGGCTTCGCGCCGCCGATAGCGAGTAACAGCCGTGCGGGTGCATTCGTAGCTTGACTGGGTGCACTGACTGTCTGCAAAGATACTAACTTTGACGTGTGCTCTGCGGTGCGCCTCGTTGTTTCTGTGCACCCCCGCCTTACATCTGAAAGATCTGAACGACTGTAGGCTTCACAATCCGCCGTAGGCGCCCAAGCGAAATCCAGATTCGGTTCGATTTCTGGCGGCAGATCCGGAAGACTCCGGCGAACCGAATCGACTTAGTGCGCACGCTGCCGACGTCACCAGTAAATTGATTGCGAGGCAGAGTTCGTCCCGTGTTCCATAAAGTTCGAGCTTACCGCCGCATCTCTGCCTCATCCCCATCCCCATGCTCTGAC